AGCTAATATATGCATGTCAACTTTTTACTCACATCATTGCATTTTGGTGATGTTTGTTTGAACTCATATCAAGACATTAGTCAGTTTGATTAGCAATATTATGTATAATGCAATGCAATGTAAATACTATATGTAATAATAACAACAATAATAGCAACTGACAAATGGTACCTTCAAGGCTACAAAGTGGTTTACAATTGTTACCTCATTTGACCCTCACAGCAACCCTGGAAGGTAGGTGCCATTATGATCTCCATTTTACAGATGAGAAAACTGAGACTCAGAGGTTAAATGACTTGCCTGTGGTCACACAGTTACAAAGTGTCAGAAGTATAGGAGTGTCAGGAATCTTCCTGATTCCAAGTCCAACATTCTATCCACTATGCCCTTTATTCTGAATGACTGTAAAATTGAATCTTTTAATTAGCCAAATATTTTGGTGACTTTTTTGGGGGGGTGGGGGGAGAGAAACCATGCCTGTATTGTTGATTTTCAAGGAATTAGAACACACTAAAATATATAGATCTGAAGCATTGTGTGGAAATAGCACTGGGCTTAGAGTTATTATAATGATTACTGTTACTATTGCAACTTTGATAAATATTTGACTTCATCAGCGAGGATATTCTTTTCATTAATACAGATAACAACACCACCATGCCTTTTCATCCTGTGTAATTCTTGACCGTAGTTTCTCATGGCCTCCTTTACTTAGATGGTCTCTGCAAAATGCTAAATATATCTACATGCATATATGTATATATAATGTATACATATATATCCATATGTATATGTATATGAAGGCTACCAGTGTACTACCTGGATCGTCCATCTGTTGTACCTCATTCTTACTATATGACTGCCTCATCTTACTACATTATCTGTTCATAAATATCTTCCATAATATCTTTTATGCCACTCCTCATGTTCACCTTTTCAATAGTAATATGAGAGAGACTACTTGCACCATCTTTTGACTGCCCTTTGGGTTACTCATAAATTTAATTCTTGTGATATTTTATAATATGCAGCCATACAGCTTCCCTGGGATGATGTGGGGTGTTAAAGAGATGGGCTTTTATAAGAGTGAGCAGACAGGATCCAGCCTCATCTCTTCTTCCTACAAATTCTGGGCCCAGCTTATTGGCTAGTCGTAATGCCTGTTAAAGATATACATACCAATGGATTGATTTTCATAATCTAAGCAGAATATATTTTTCATCCACTTAGTTTTTTCAGTGTAGGTAGTTGGACCAGTCTTTCTCACATTGCTATGGATTCCACTGAGAAAGTTTTGCAGCATTCTGGGGTTTGTTGCAATTAGTACAATAACATCTGCAAATAAGAGTATTTGAAGAATTTCACCATCAAGAGGCAATCCTTTTTACTCAAGCCATATAGAACTTAATTTAATTTTTAGCAATTCAGAAGGCACTTTAGGGCTGCCTCAGCATCTTTTCTCACACCAAATATTGTAAAGTACTGTGGGAAAACTTTTAACTGTTAGTTTTCTTATACTTGGGGTATGTATGAGTTTATGTAATTGCCGTAAGCCATAGCAGCAACAAGAGTATTGTGGGCATAGCAGTCCTCTAGATATCAGAACACTTGAGTCCTTTTCCTAGCTTTATCATTAGCTTCCTCTGATCGAGTTAGATCCCTTTAATTTTCAATTTCTCCTTCTTTAAAATGGGGAGAATCCGTTCTCCTGGTTGCTTCATAAGGAGAGTGTAAGAGCGAGTGAAATGATGATTATAAAGACATCAAATCTTGGAAAGAAAGATGCTAAGGATTCTGAAGCATCGTCATAATGGCTTGTTATTGTTAACAGCCATTATCGTAAGGGGCATGGCTCCATGGAATCCCACATTCCATTGTCTATTCAGACAATGGGCTCTTCCATGCCCAGCTCCTACTCCAGTGGGCAATAAGCATGATGGCTCCTTTCCTGGCTCCCATCTGCATAGAAATCCCTCAGTGAAAACATATGCCAGACACCCAACCATTACCTGGATTATAAAAGGAGGAGAAAACTTTGAGGGGAAATTTGTGCAACTGTGTTTGCTAATGAACCATTATGTATCTATGGTGGGCACAGTTCTCTCTGTTTTGGAACTTCATATTATATTTTCTCTTCGTTCAAACTCCTACCACCTTGGAAAACTGATTTCTCTATCAAAACCTGTCCTCCTTCACCTTCTCCTGGTTGTGCGGGATTACTAGGTGCATTGAATAATTAGACCAGGTTAAAAAGAGAAAGAGCACCTTTTGTAGAGAATCATAGAATATCAGTGCTGGAAGTTACTTTAATGATCATCTCCTTGTACAGATGAGAAACTAAGGCCAATCTGAGAATAAAACTGAATCACATTGGTTGGGAAAGGAAAAAGCAGATGATATGATCAGTCGCCTTCTTGAATGGCCCCAGGATCTCTTGCTGGCTTCAGCTGATCAGGACTCCTTGGAACATATATGTGACTGTGTGGTCAGGAACCTGTCTCCTTCCTTGCTTTCCCAACAATCTGATAAAAGAAACTCTAAGGGAGAGAGAATAGGAATGGTCTCCTGTATGGCGGTGCTGCCTGTGTTCCTGGCTCATGGGAGACTTAGCTCCTTCTCAGATTTACCCCTGGCAGGTCCTGTTTCCTGCCCTACTTCTCCTATTTCCACTTCAGCCTCCTCAGCTCTTATTACAGCAGCCCAAAGATTTCTGCCTTCTATCTAGCCCATGTGGGTGCTTTGCTCCCTTGGACTAAATTTAGCACTGAGAAATAGGAACAAGAAATCTTCTGCAGTTCACGTAGACAGATGAGGAGAAGTACAACGGCGGCTCTGGTTCCCTTCCGGCCCTGTTTGGTCCTCTCTCTGCCAGCACCAGCCCCACTCAGTACATCCTTCCCCTTATACATATCAGGCAATGAAGCTTTAGTTCTTTCAGAGAGAGGGAGAAAAAGGCTTGAGTCAGGACCCAGTGCATTAGCCTCTTCCTTGGGGCCAGTCTGGCTTGTTTGGGACAAGATTCCCTTGTGATATGAAGAGGAAGCATAGGCCCACAGAGATGGTGGCTGTCTTGGTCCTGAGTCCTGCTTCACATTCTGGGGTGTCTCCAAGACTTTCTATCCCAAACTGTGCTTTTCAGATGAGATGTAGCCCAAGACTCATTTTCACAACCTCTCAGAGGCAGAGGCGATGGCTGCTTGAGCTATCTGGTATCTGTCTCTCTTTAACTACTTATAAACTTAATAACTGCCAACAGACTATTAATCATACAAATACATATTTATTATTTTACAGCCCCCTAATATTCCATTACGTTAATATCCTGCAGTCTGTGTGGCCCTTCTCCTAGGCTGCCACCTTCAATGACTACTCTGATGGATGAACTGGGGAAGAGGGTCTTAGGGCTTTCTCTGAGGAGGTTTAACATTTGAGAGACTCTGCCTGGATTCTGAGCCCAAGGTCAGACAGACGTAACTGAGGCACTCAAGCCTGTCTCTGACATCCCTGACACGTCAGTGCAAGAGGGATGCATGTTACCATCCTAAAAGGCCGGGGCTACAGGGGGCAAGTCCACTTGCCCATGTTTCCTGTAAATTGCCTCCCAATCCTGTAATGAGCCCTTGCGCTGACCTGGCTCTCATCTTCCATCTCAACCCCTTGTATTTTGGAGAGAGAAGCCCAGGGTCCCAACCTAGCCTAACCTTTTATTTACAATTATTTGGGGGAGCCAAGATGGTGGAGTAAAAGCAGTGATTTGCCTGAGTTCTTCCCCAAACCCCTCCAAATAAGTGTAAAAAATGGCTCTAAACAAATTCTAAAGCAGTACAGCTGTTTAGATCCCAGTACACACACACCTTTTTCCTCTGGAACACATTGACACATACGGGGTCCTCTGTGAGGGAAGGGATATAACGCTTGGCTCCTGACTCCTTTCACTGACTTGTTCAGAGGCCCTGAGTTCCTGTCTGGATAATCCCACACAGGAGTTATAATGGTGGTAGGGTTGGGGAGGGAGTTCTACCAGAGGCTTCTCAATCATTTTTTATTCACAGGTCTGAGCAAGAGAAGGAGAAAAAGCCATTACTACCCATTGCATGAGGAAAATCCCTCCCCTTTAAGGGTGCAAAATCTCCATAAGATTACCCAGGGCCTGACTTTTTCAAATTAAATTGTATGAGACAAAGATAGAATACTTTAGATTAACTGGCTTTTGTCTTCTATCACTTTTTCCTTAATTGCACATATATCCAAAATACCCTCCCTTCTCTGGCTTATGTCTGTGTGCCCCTCTCCTCTCCTTTCCTCTCCTTTCTCTCTCTCTCCCCCATCCCCTCCCCTCCTCTCCCTTCTATTTTCATTCTCTTACACACACCCCTCTTTCTGACATCACCCTTCACAATGTATGTTCTTTAGCTTAGAGAATAAAGCTCCGTAGAAATCACAGAAGTCGTGATTTAGAAAGAAGCTAACAACAACCTCTTCGTTCTGCCTTTGTATTTGGTTTTTCATGCTGGTCTTACTTTAGATTGTAGTTAAGGCTGATGGGCCTGAAGGTCTGAATTCATGGAGTTCTGGCTCCCTAGGACAGTGTGGTCCCATGGAGGGGTGCAGAGCAAGGTGAATGAATGTGAGGGCTTGGGAGGAAGGGAGCCTATTTCTCAGTTCATCCAGGTTGTCACCATTTGAATTTAGGGCAAGTCATTTATTTCGCCTCTCTTTGCTCCGTCCTGTATTCCCAGCTTAATCATGTGCCCCAGTATTCTAAGAGAAGCTTTTCCCTGTGGGACTGTCCAAAGGTCTCTTAGCTGCCTGATGGGGTTTTTCCTATGGGTTAGACTTGTCCTTTGTTGCTCCCACTTATGTACTGAAGAAGCCCCAGTCTTCTGGGAGGTAAAGAGATGTGACTGCCTGGAGAGCTGGGACCCTCCACTCCCACCCCACCACCAACTACATTGGAGTCTCACTCAGTGTTTCTGCTTCCCCCTTTCTTTCTGCTACAGAGCAATGATGCCTCAGGGAATACCTGGAACTGGTTGTACTTCATCCCCCTCATCATCATTGGCTCGTTTTTTATGCTGAACCTTGTGCTGGGTGTACTGTCTGGGTAAGTCCACTCTGTCCCTCCCACTTCCTTTCTCCACCAGAGATTCCGAGCCCCCACCCATGTTGTCAGAAGAGGAACAAATTTGGGGAGAGAACAGCTTCTCTTCCTTCCTTTGGTTCCCCGGGTTGAAGGGCAGTGGTATCCCTGACCTATCCCTCTAGATGTAAGCAGGCCCTGTGCTGACCTATCCTCTACAGACAGGACTGCTGCTCCCACCTCCATGCCCACCCAGCCAGATAGAACAAGGATGCCCTACCAGACAATGGACCCCAAGACTTTGTGCTTTGCAGGGAGTTTGCCAAGGAAAGAGAACGGGTTGAGAACCGGCGAGCTTTTCTGAAGCTGAGACGGCAGCAGCAGATAGAGAGAGAACTCAATGGCTACATGGAATGGATTTCCAAAGCAGGTGAGGCCTTTACCTCCTGGCAGGTGGGGCACACTGTGGTTGCAGGGTGACCAGGCAGACTGGGTCTGAGTATCTCTAAGAAAACACCAGGACCTCAGAGAAGAGAGATAGGCAGACGTCCTTGACCGGAGGAGGAAGGAGGAAAAGACAGAACTGGGTCTGAGAGACCTGTTAGATTGTTAAATGATATATTGTTGGTCTTTCTTTATCTGATCATAATTGTCCATCATTCTGTCTTCCCCTCTGCCTTACAACCCTCTAAGCCCATCTTCATCCTCACTGTGACCTTCAATCCCCCTGCTCCTCAGTTCTTTCCCAGACCATCACCCTTGCATTGGCTATTCTCTCCTTTCTTCCCCATTTTGACTCTTTAGTGGACTAGTTCAATTCTACACTATCCTTTTTAGTCCCTTGGCCCTTAATCCCATCATAAATCTTCCCCTGCCAAACCCCAGCCATAGATTTCTCCCACTATTTGCTGCCTCTACTGCAATTCACATGCTGCTGAATAAAGCTGGTTGAAATCACAAAACCATATTGACTGAATCCACTACACATTTATGTTATATGATCTCAACTGGTCCCTCGCTGTTTCAAGGCAATTCTTTTATGTCTCCTGAATCGATTCATTATTCCACTCACCACGGCAGATTTTCTAACCTTTTTATCTGTCCTCAAACTTCCCTTGGTGCTCCCTCCCCACAACCCTCTCAGCTGAGAACTTTGCCTCATATTTCACTGAAAAAAAAATTAGGTCATTTGCCTAGAGCTTCCTCTTCCCCTCCCCTCCTCCTTTTACATCCCCCACTATCTCCTCCTTCACCCTATCTTACATGAAGAGGTGACCCTTCTCCTGGCCAAGGCTGACCCTTCTACATGTACAAATGATTCCATCCCATCTCATCTTCTCCAATAGGCTACCCCCTCTATTATCTCCACTCGGACTAACCTTCAGTCTTTTCCTGTCTATTGGCTGTTTCCCTGCTGCCTACAAACACATCCATGTCTCCCGCATCATCAAAAAAACAAAACTCTCACTTGATCCATCCATCCCTGCTAGCTATTGCCCTATATCTCTCCTCTCTTTCATGGCTAAACTCTTTGAGAAAGTCATCTACAATGGTCACTGCTATTTCCTTTTTTTCACTCTCTTCTTAACTCTCTGCAGTCTGACTTCTGACTTTATCATTCAACTGAAATATGCTCTCTGCAATGTTACCAATGTTCTTTTAATCTGCGAAATCTAATGACTTTTTCTCAGTCTTCATCCTTCTTGACCTCTCTGCAGCCTTTGACACTGTTGATAATCTCTTCTTTCTAGGTCTTCACAACACTGCATGTCTCCTGGTTCTCCTCCCACTTGTAAACCACTCCTTAGTCTGCTAGATCTTCATCCAGGCCATGCCCATTATGGGTATCACCTAAGGTTCTGTCATGGGCCCTCTTCTCCCTCCTCTATAATATTTGGCTTTGTGATCTCATCAGATCCAATGGATTCAATTACCATCTCTTTGCTAATGATATTCATATCTACTTGTCCAGGACCAACTTCTCTGCTGACCCCCACTTTCAAATCTCAACTGCCTGGTGAATATCTCAAACTAGATGCCCTGTAGACATCTTAAATTCAACAAAGTCCAAAACTGACCTCGTTATCTTTTCCTCTAAACCCTCCCCCCCTTCCAAACTTCCCTATTACTACCAAGGGCGCCATCTTCCTTCCAGTCATCCAAGTCACAATGTGTTATCTTTGACTCCATACTCTCTTTCAGTTACCATATCCAGTTCTTCAAATGAGATAGTAATTGTAAAATGCTTAGCACAGTGCATGGCACATAGTAAGTGCTATATAAATGTTAGCTATCATCATTTTTATCATTATTATTATCATCTGTTGCCAAGTCCTGTTAATTCTACCTACTAAACATCTCTTGCATAGGCCCCCTCTACTCCTTCAACTCTGCCACTACCTTAGCACAAGCCGTCATCACCTGGCATCTGGACTATTGCAATAGCCTGCTGGTGGGTCTGCCTGCCTCAGGTCTTTCTCCCCTCCCCATTCCATCATTTACCCAGCTGTCAAAATGATCTTCCTAAAGTGCAGATCTGACTAGGCCTCACCACATGCACACACACTCAATAAACTCCAGTGACTCTCTATGAAATCAAATATAAAAGGTCAAATATAAAATCGTCTAGCTTTTTGAGCCCTTTATAACCTGGCCCCTTCCTGCCTTTCTAGTCTTCTTACACCTTACTCCCCAGTCAGTGCCATTGGCTTCCTTCCTGTTGCTCCATCTCCTGACTCCAGGCATTTTCACTTGCTATCTCTCATACCTGGAATGCTCTGCCTTCTCATCTCCACTTTCTGGTCTCTGTGTCTTCTTTCAAGTCCTAGCTAAAAGCCACCTTCTGCAAAAAGCCTTTCCTGCCCCCCCTTAGTGCTCTTGCCTCTCCTCTAAGATGATCTCCAATTTATCCTGTATATAGCTTATTTCTACAAAGCTGTTTGCATGTTGTCTTCCTCTATAGTCTCCAAGTTCTTTGAGGGACTGTGTTTTTTTGTTTGTTTGTTTTGCTGTGCATCCCTGGTGCTCAGCACAGTGTCCGGCATTTAGTGAACACTTAATATATACTTGTCGACTTGATTTGACTATGGGAATCAACTGGTCATGCTTTGGCTGGTCGAGCCCTTATTCTCATAGTAAAAGAACTCTGGAGACTAACTCATGTTGGGGTGGGGGAAGTCCTTTGTGTCATTCTTTCAAAAGCCAAAGGGGCACTCTCTGGAAGTCCCTGAGTTCATGGCAGCAGCATTTTTTCCCCAAGAGAACCCACTCTGACTTGGTCTAAAACCTTCCCAGGCCATCTGGGATGTGATTCCAGGCCAAGCGTGGGTCCTGGCTCTGCGAGGGGGAAGTTCCATCTGTCTGACTGCGGGAGGTTAATTTGCTCTTCTTTTCCCTCAGAAGAAGTGATACTAGCAGAAGATGAAACAGACGGCGAGCAGAGACACCCCTTTGATGGTAACTCCTCTGAGTTTAATATGATATGTGATAGAGGACATGCTAGAGAAACACTGGGTGGTGGGGGCTTCCAAGGTGGGCCACTCTTAGCCAATGGCCATTTTAGGAGATGCTCAGGGAGCCATGCCTAGAATAATCTAATAAGCACAAGATAACAGCTTGTGGGGATGGAGAACGATGGGAACCTACTTCCTAAGGCTGATTTGTGATAGACAAATGGGGCAGCATTGTAGATACAGAACTCTGGTTCTGACTATACACAATCTATTCACTTTGAATTCTACTGTGGGAAACTCCACCCAATCAAGTTTCTTATTTGGGAACCTCTTAGTCAGAACTGACAACAAAGCTACTTTTAATTGGAGATTCTGTTAGCTGAGAGGTAGAGTCAAGAACAAGGGCGCTGTATCAGTCAGGTACAAAGAAGAGTTCACAGAATACGCTATTGGCAAATGAAAATTAAAGCAACTAATGTGGGAGTCTGAATGGCCCTCTCCAAAGATTGTTTGTCATTATGTTAAACTGCCCCAGGTTCGAATTGTGCAACTGGGCCCCAGAAGGAATTGGGAAGATGCTTCCAGCAGGCAAATTTCAGCTTATAAAAACATATAAAAGTGAACTTATAAAAATGGAATGGATTGCCTTGGAGGTAGTGAGTTGCTATTACCAATGGTCTTTGAACAAAGGAAACTGACTATCTGTCAGGGGTTTTATAAGGAAGTTATATTCAGGCATGGGTTAATCTAGCTTGTCTCTGGGGTCCCTTTCAACTCAGAGTGTCTATAATTCTGAAACTCACTTCTGGGGCTGGGCCCATATGCTTAGGTGGGGATCCCCAGCTCTTTCTTTGGCTCCCCAGCCAAAGTGCTGGAGGGAACAGGGCAGAAGCCATTTCCCTAACAAAGTTCCCTGTTCACCCAACCTCAAACTTCATGAACAGCAATTTCTAGGAGAGAGTGCCAAGGCTGGGACAACAAGGGTAATGTCTTTTTCTCTTGCCATGTTCCTATTGTTGGAGCTCTGCGGAGAGCCACCATAAAGAAAAGCAAGACAGACCTGCTCAACCCCGAAGAAGCCGAGGATCAGCTGGCTGATATGGCCTCTGTGGGTGAGTTTTTTCTCTCACAGGAGGCATGGCTAGGAGAATGGAGGGGTCAAGAGAATACAGCACTTTTCCTCATAGTACCTTCCCCTTCCTCCAGCCTCTCAGAAACAGGTGGTCTAAGTTTTGCATTCTTTGGGACACTGATATGAAAAAAGATCTTAGGCTATATTTGAAGGGGCACAGAGCCCAAAGCAAGGGAGGTGATAGACCTTCTGAACTGTGTCTTGGCCAGTTGGAGACATCATGTTTTAGAGAGGATATTGACAAACTAGAGTCTTTCCAGAGGTGGGAAGCCAGGCTAGAGAGGGGAAACCAGACCATACTACAGCATTCTAGGTGAACTGAGGATGATACCCTTGGGCAGGACAAGACTTAGCAGGACCTCTACAAGAAGCTCGAAGGGGAAGGGGATGAGAAGGAGGGGAGAGGTAGACAGGAGGGCAGATTAAGGAAAGGGGTATTCAGAATGCATGCCATCTTGGGGTGGAGGGAGGGGTGAGAGAGGGAGAAAATTTGGAACTCAAAATCTTGTGAAAGTGAGTGTTGAAGATTAAAAATAAATAAATGTTTAAAAAAAGACTTAGCAGGACCTCAGTAACCATCTTCAGGTATGAGAAGGGCTGTCAAATGGATGAAGGATGAAATGTATTTTTTTTCTTTTTTTTTTTTGAAATGTATTTTTCTTGGCCCCAGAAGTCAGAACTGGGAATTACAAAGATGCAAATTTCAGCTCCACATAAGGAAAACTTTTCTAATAGTTTAAAATGTTTTTAATTTTCAGAGTTTAAAAAAATGGAATAGGCTATGTTAAGAGTTAATTGGTTCTTCCTCACTAAAGGTCTTCCATTAGAGACTGGATGATTGACTTAGCAAAGTATGTAGAAGAAATTCTTATTCAGGTTTGGGTTAAGCTTGGTAACTTCTGGAGTGTCTTCTACCTGAGGTTCTGTGATTCTGTGAGACTTGGGATGGAGAAGGAGGAGGAATCCTCAGGGAGACATAGAGAGAGAAAGGAGGGAAGGGTTGGAAGTTCTTTGGCAGAGCACAACTGAGAAAACGAGATTGAAAATAAATCCTTAGTCAGTAATATAGAGACGTGAATAGATTTAGTCAACAAATGTTGACCGGGTATCTATTCGGGATCAGGTGCTGTGGATGATACAAAGATATGTGATGTTGGCTCTGCCTTCAAAGAATTGACAACAAATTTAATCAGGGAGGTGCTAACAGTAAATCTAACCAGGGAGATGAGATATCTACAAATACAGGCAGCAGCTAGTGTCTGGTGATTCCTGTTTATTTCCCCCAGCCATTTAGACCATCCTGAAAGCACACAAATGACTTCCCTCACCCACTTGGCTTATTGACATGCTCTCCATAAAGCTCCCCCCTCCCAACTCCCTGTTTCATTCCAGCTCATTAGTTTCTTTCCCAACCCCCATGAGTTTGTCTGGGATAGTCAGAGCTAAAGGGAGGGGGAGACCCATTGCAGACTTCCTAACATTGATCATGAGGGAACAAGGGAGCAGGAAGATGATTGAGACTTTGAACCTGGATGACTGAGGGAATAATACTATTATTCTGTACTGTAGTACTATACTATAGTATATTATGGTATAATACTATAGTAACAGTATACTATATTAGTAATACTAATATAATACTATAGTATAGTATAGTATAGTATAATACCATAGTAATAGTACTACTAACAAGAAGAGAAACACTATGGGGTACAGGAAAGATCATTGGATAAAGTTTCAGAAGACCTGGGTTCCAGTGCAACTTCTTTTATTTACTCATTTTATGAACTCAGGTGAATTATCTAAATTCTCTGAGCCTCATGTGTAAAATGGGCATAATACTTGCCCTGTTTGTCTCAGAAGGTTGTGATGATAAATCAGACTATATATGTGTGTGTATGTGTGTATATATATATGTGTGTGTATATTGTATATATTATACATACCATATAAATGTAAATAATTATTACATTGCCTTACACATAGTAGGCACCTAATGATTATTTCTTGAATGAATGAAGGAATGTTAAGAAAAATAGGAAAGTCTAGACCAAGAAGAGTTTGTTTGCGGGGTGGATGACACATAAATTTGGTTTGGGACAAATTGGATGTCAGAGGGCAATTGAGATAAAGGTCTGGAGCTCAAAAGGCGGTTCAAGGCTAAGAAAAGATTGGGGAGCCCAAGGCAGGAATCCTCCTCTTCTTTTCACCCTCCTTCACAAGGTTGGATGAGGTCTCCTGCTCTTAGTTCTCCAGCCTCCAGCCCTGAATTCCAGTTCTCTTTAAAGAGCTCCCAACTTTGTAGTCTCCCACTGGACCCGAGCTCATCAAGCCCTGCTTTGGTTGTTTCTCAGAGTCTTTGGCTGACCTGACTTACTTAGCTTTAGGAGTTGGTGTCCTCATATAGGTCCCAGAGCTGAAATCAGAGTCTCTGAAATCGTCTTGTCTTAATTTTTTTTTATGAACTCTTCACAGTAGCATCATTATTTTTTTTTTCTGTTGGTGCTCCTTTGCCCTTAGACTACTCAGCAAAGGACTTGAGCAGCATTACAAGAGTCCAGACCATTAATTCAGAGCTTTAGGAAAATAAATATGCTTGTTGATCATAGCTGCTTGTTCCCAAAGCATTCACTGTGTTGTGGCTGCTAGGCAGATGGTATTGTTTCCAAAGTCAAACAGAGGTCTGTCAAACTAAGGTCCCTCCTTCTTAGGCCATCCATATCTATATCCGGGCTCCTGAAACCCTACCCAAAATCCTATACGCAGGATTACCTTTTGCCTTCACTCAGTGTGTGCCCTTAGCTGATGCCTGTCTCTCTGACCCCCCACCCCCAACTCCCACCTCCACCTCATCCCAGGCAGCTGTGCCAAAGGACAGCTGCCATGACACAGAAACCCCTGCAGTTTGTGGGGGGAGGCAGAGAGTCAGACTCAGTCCCCAACTAAGTAGGCGAGCAAATGGCCTCAGGAGACATAAACGCACGGTGTCATTATTGATGTTATAAGATATAATTGTTTGTTTTTTATGCCATTAATTTCAGGGAAATCTCCTTCCTGTAAGAGTCCCAGTTGCAGAGTGGAAGAGGCTTGGGGGTGGGGGGCGCGCATTAATATTCCCTGAGGCTGGTGGGTTTGCTGGAGAGGCTAATTGACTCTCTGGCCCCCGGCCTCACCCTGGGCTGAGTTATGGATTGGTTTCCTCTGCAGGAAGGGCCTGCTGAGACTAGCCTGACATTTTCCTTTCTCCCCTTGGCAGGTTCTCCCTTCGCCCGAGCCAGTATTAAAAGTGCCAAGCTGGAGAACTCGACTTTTTTTCATAAAAAGGAGAGGAGAATGCGCTTCTATATCCGCCGCATGGTCAAAACTCAGGCCTTCTACTGGACAGTTCTCAGTCTGGTAGCACTCAACACGCTGTGTGTTGCTATAGTTCACTACGACCAGCCAGATTGGCTATCTGACTTCCTCTGTGAGTGGGACCTCTTGCTTTTTCTTCTAAAATTCCTTCTCTTCCACCTATGCATTCCTCTTCTTTGTGTTTTCTTTAAAGTCCCTCACTCTTTCCCTCGTTGGCTTCTTCATGAGTGGATCATTCTCCATGTTGTTTTTTTACAATTAGGCAGCTGAGTGGTGCAGTGGATAGGGTGTCTGCCTCAGTTTCCTCATCTGTAAAATGAAGATCATAATAGCACCTACCCACTAGGGTTGCTGTGAGGATCAAATGAAATTTTGGGGGCGGTGAGGCAATTGGGGATAAGTGACTTGCCCAGGGTCACACAGTTACTAAGTGTCTGAAGTCAGGTCATATCTGAACTCAGGTCCTCCTGTCTGCAGGGCCAGTGCTCTATGCACTGTGCCACCTAGCTGCCCCTAAACGAGATATTTTTAAAGCACTTTGCAAACCTTAGTGAGCTATATAAACATTATCTATTGTTACTATACCACTGTTCATTCTTTTGTGTGTGTGTGTGTGTGTGTGTCTGGCATATAGTAGGTACTTAATGCTTGTTTATTGATTAAGTCTATTCTTCTAGTTTTTTCTGCAGTTACCATTGTCACTCTTACTACCACATCTCCTACTCCTCTGACTAGTAACAATATTGTTTAGAAGCGATAGTGATCCACGCTGAAGCCCAGCACAGCTGGATTTCCTTCTTCTCTCTGCTCTGTTGCCCTATGTTTTGTATCAGCCTGGGAAGGTCTCTAACCACTTCCACCACCCATTTCCTTCCCCCCACAACATCGTGGAATAAGACCTGAACTACGATTCAAAATCTGAAGGGCCCAGGGACAAGTCCCAGATTTCTTGCTCTGTTACCTTGGGCAAGTCACAGACTTTAGTAGATCTTAGTTTCCTCAACTATAACAACAATAGCTATAGCACTTTATATATAATATCTGTAAAAAGGAAAGGGTTGAACTAGATGCCTCTAAGGTTGAGTTCCCTAGTTCTAGGTGTCATCCAGTATTCTAAAGTGAGAGGCTGGGTGATGATACCAAAGAGAATAAGAGTAGGGGGAGAGAGATGACCTCTATTTTTAGTATTTCTTCCGCTAATCTCTTGTGTGTCTCTCTCTGCCTTTCTCTTCTTCCTTTGAACCCCTTGTTCAATTTTTAATTTCCCTTTTGAATATCAATGCCTTGGGCTCAGTCTGGGAAAGTCTTCCCTGCAGAACCCCTGGTCTGTGCCCAGCAGGGTCCTGAGTTAGGCCCAGGATGTTTAGATGCTGCGGCAGCCAAAGGCTGCATCAGCAGTCCAGGAATGTTGCCCTTCTCAGTGAATGAAGATAGAGAGCCTATGGGCCTCTCCATCCCAGGACCTAGCAGACAGAGGAACCCAGGCATGCTCAAGAAAAGGAAAGATGTTAAAGGTGGGGAAACCTCTGACCAAGAGTAAAATAAAGAGCTCTGGGCTATCCTGCAATTCCTAAGCACTTGAAATCCAAACCAGAGTAAGAGATGTGGGGGAAAAAAGAAAGTTAATCCAGCCCTGCCCTCGGAGAAGAAATCAGTCCAAGGCCCTGGATGAGGAGGGGACTATTGACTTTGGTTTCTAAGGAGTCTCCTCCAGCTTTTGTCTTGGAGCTGCTGTTTTCCCTCAGCTTCCCTTCCAAGCCTGGCTAAAATGAGTGTAGACTGGTAGGTTCTAGGTTCATAAGACCCGCCTTTCAGACCTGGGTTACCTCAGCCTAGGGAGGGAGAAGAGTTGACCCAGTGGACAGGGTGAGCACAGGGAGCAGAGAGAGTTAATGGAAAGGGTGTCATTTAGCTATACCACCACCCCTCCCCATCCCCTGTAATTTCACCGTTCCCTATTGGCTTGGTATAGGAAGCTTGGAAAGAAGAGGGCCCTGACCCAGTTCCAACTTAAGTAATTACATTCAGCCTCCCTGAAGGCTCCTCAGGAATGAGGATCTGTACGTCCTGCCTCTAACTTCTGAGTTAGTAGAATGCTCCTCTGTTGCTGTCCCCAGGCAGTGGTTTTGTTTGTCCTGGTTTGGAGAGGCCTGGAGATGGACCTGGGGTACAAGAGAAAGAGCCCTAGACCTCAGAATTAGAGGACCTGAGCTCTAGGGCCAGGACTGCCTTCATCTTGGTGCATGACTGTGGGCAAGTCATTTACTTTCCTTCTCTTGCCCATAACACAAAGGGCTTAGAGTCCCATCATGCTTCACTTCCTCCCCTCCCACGAGCACTTCCACAGCCTGCTATGCAGACACTTCACTGGAGCTGCACATGTGTAATTTTTCGTCCTGCTCAACTTCCCCGCACTCTTTCAGTTCTATAACCATCATGGTTCTATGATCATGATGGAATCAATGCCACCATTTTTCCTGAATTGCATATGCCAGACTAGGACCTCAGCTCACCATCCCTATAACTTTCTGGACCAAAATGCCCCTTCTCGAGCACCGGTCCCCTCTGTGGGTAGTTTCCCCCATTAGAATGTAACCTCCTTGGGGCAGCTAGGTGGCGCAGTGGATAGAGCACTGGCCCTGGAGTCAGGAGGACCTGAGTTCAAGTCCGGCCTCACACACTTGACACAGACACTAGCTGTGTAACCCTGGGCAAGTCACTTAATCCTGATTTCTTCACCAACAAAAAAAAAGGGGGGGGGGAATAAATAAAACTGCAACCTACAGAAAGTCACAAAGACCTAGCTCAGAGCCCCAGCTAGACCTTTTCATGAGATGTGCTTATTTTTGCTCCTCCTGAGACTGTTCTGGATGAATGGGGACATGAGAAATTATACTTCCCCTTTCCCAGAGGGAAAAATGAGGCCCAGAAAAACATGGCATTTACACAATGAGTCACCAACCAGGCCAGATGCCTATGAAACACCAAGTTCAAGATTGGGACTGAGGGTAAAAGTCTTTAGGATTCTTCCCTGGAGACCCCAAAGGCTAATGCTTTTTTCTGTTTCCCTTCTCACTCACTTCCAGACTATGCAGAATTCATTTTCTTAGGACTCTTTATGTCCGAAATGTTTATAAAAATGTATGGGCTTGGGACGAGGCCTTACTTCCACTCCTCCTTCAACTGCTTTGACTGTGGGGTAAGTTCTGGAGAGAGCTACCTGTTCGGCCTTGCCTAGAACCAGCTGGGGGCTGTAGAGGTAGGAGATGGAGGCTGGGAGTAAGTTCCACTAGCAATTTCTCCACCTCTCCAGAGGGCAGCAAGAAACTGTCCCTCCAAAGTCCAGAGTGTAACCTTCTACGTTGCCAATAGAGAAGCAAAGCAAAGGCCCTTTGAAAAGCATAAGGCAGTCCTGGAAATTGAAGTAGTGCCTTCCTCCCCAAGCCTTCTTGGGGAGAAGAGAGACTATTCATTGTTCCAGACCTTGCTGGTGCTACAGAAGATGAAGGTCTTTTAGTGCCATTATAGTCAGGGACCACAGAAAGAAATTGCTATGGGGCATTTCCACCATAGGAAAATGGCGGCGTGGAGGGGGAGTAATAGAGGAAACTGCCACTGGGTATCCAACTAGCTGCTTTTTGCTCCAGGTTATCATCGGGAGCATTTTTGAGGTGATCTGGGCTGTGGTGAAACCTGGAACATCCTTCGGGATCAGTGTGCTACGAGCTCTCAGGTTATTGCGTATTTTCAAAGTCACAAAGTAAGTCCTCTCTGTTCCTGGCTCCCCTGACATCCCAAGTGGGAGGTGGGAGGAAAGGATAGCAGGCCTTACCACCAGACCTCTCTCCAAACACTTACCAGTAACCAGTCATGGCAGGACATGGGGGTTAGGAGTGGAACAGGGGTCTGTATGGCCACTGATGTTGGGGGGGGGGGGGGTGCCACAAAGCAGGAAGCTGGCATCTGAGCTGTTCTCCCATTGTCCCCTACCTGACTTGCCTGGCCAGGAGTAACCATCAGTAACTATGTCTTCTGCTGGTAGATACTGGGCTTCTCTCAGGAACCTGGTCGTGTCTCTCCTGAACTCCATGAAATCCATCATCAGTTTGTTGTTCCTTCTCTTCCTTTTCATCGTTGTGTTTGCCCTTTTGGGAATGCAGCTCTTTGGAGGCCAGTAAGTGCTCAGCATCCTGATGTCCACCTCCTTGTAGCACCTGTTCAGATCTGCCCTTTTCCGAAACCCCATCATTGGCTTTGTTCCATCACGTCCCATTGGAGCAGAACTGCCACCTTTCCCCTACCCCACCTCCCTTCCCCTTTTGGGCCATTTTGAAAATTTTCCTCCTGGGGTCCTGGTGTCATTGCTGCAAATTGGCGGGAAAAGCCTTGGGGAGCTTCGGGGCATAGAAACAATGTTAGTTTTTGTCTTGCACAGGTTCAATTTTGATGATGGAACGCCTCCTACCAATTTTGACACTTTTCCAGCAGCAATAATGACAGTATTTCAGGTATGGCTTCTACCCTGCCCCCTCAGCCCTCTTTGATGAAGTCTAGAAGCCTATGTATTACTGTAATTGTGGAGTTGGCTTTTTAGTCACTTAGTGAGGGTAGCTAAGATACTGGAAGGCGCTTCAGAGAACTGACTGGAGATTAAACCCCTCTTCCTCTTCCTCTCCTTCCCCTTGCCCTTCCCCTCCCCCTCCTTTCATTTCCTCTCCTGGAGGAAATGGACCTCAACCTCAGCATGTCCCTCTCCTCTTCTCTCCTCTTCCCCTTCCTCTCCCTTCTCCCTATCCTCACCTTCACCTTTCCCTCACTCTCTCCTTCATCTTCTCATCCCTCGCCTTCATTCTTTCTCTCCTTCCTTACCTTTCCCTTCTCCTTTCCCCCTTCCGTGTTCTCTCCCTTCCCTGTCACTGGTCTGAGTCAAAATAATAATTCTTGCCTGCTCCCCTTCTTAAGCTTTGAGGGCCTGGGGCACACAGTAGAGACAGAGCCAGGGGACCTACATGTGGTGCTCAGAGCCTAAGTAGCTTCTGACCAAAGCCTTGCCTTTGGGAGAGTGTCAGTTTCCTCATCTGTGAAATGAGAATAATGATGCCTACTCCATAGGGTTGTTAGTAGATCTAACAAGATGATAGCTAGCTAGCTAGCTAGGTAGATACATTTCATATATATATATATATATAATGTGTGTATGTGTGTGTGTATATATATATATATATATATATACATGTGTGTATGTGTATGCAAAGCATTTAGTATGCCATAAAGTGCTGCCTGTGTGCTGTTATTAGTACTAAGTCAGTCAACAGGCTTTTACTGAGCATTTATTTCTCATGTACCAAGGACTATAGTAAGTCCTAGGAGTACCAAGAAAATCACAAACAGCTCCCTGTCTTCAGGGGAGCTCCCATTCTAATGGGGAAGAAAAAAGGTAAACATTTGGGTCATACAAGCTTTACACAGAGTAGATGGAAGGTAATCTGAAAGAAGAAGGCACTAGAGCCGCTGGAGGGACCAGGAAAGGTCTTCTGGAGAAGGTGGGATTTTGGCTGAATCTTGAAGGAAGCTAGAGAAACTGAGATAGGGTTGCTGTCATTGACATTTCATAGCAGGAACACCTGAATCCTAGAGAAATTAAGCACCTTGCCCCATGTCACACAGAACTACAGCTGGGAGTGTTCTAGCACCAGATGAGCCCATTGTTAAATTTTCAGTGTGAGCATTTACACCTCAGTAGTTAGTAAACATTAAAAATCAGGGCTTGATTTATTGTTTTATTGATTGTCTAGACCCAAGAAATTAATGGGGGATATGTTAATAATTCAGATTAAACTTAAAAGTATGTCATGGGCACATTTTTATTTTCAAAGAACTGGTTTTAAACATTTGCATCACACCCTGACTAGAATCCAAGTGTCCTTATTCCCAATCCAGGGCCCTGAAATAAAAGAGGCTCAGAAAATCCTGTACCTAGCTTTTTTTTTTAAACCTTTCAAATATATTATATTTTAATTTATGAAATAACACAAGAATTTCCTTAACAGTAGAATTTTTTTAAAAAGATGAAACTGCAAATTTATTAACAACTTGCTATTCATTTTAAATATATAATAGTTATCATGTAACTTTCTTTTTTTCCTTTTCTTTCTTCCCACCTCCCCTCCCTAGGGATGGCTACCATTAGACACTAATATGTATGTATGTATATACAATTGTATGTAAAACCACTCTATACATATTGCTATTTATCAGTTCGAGCTTTAAGAATTTGGATCTAGAAGAGAGGGCAAGAGAATAGTGACCTGAGCCCACACGTAGGCAGCACTCTTGATACATTTTTCTCCAAGCAAAAATTTGAGCCAGGATTCTGAACAGCATTCTTCACAAGGCAACTGAGGCCAGACATGGCCTTTAGGATAGGCATTTGCTTGTCCCACCATAACAGCTGAGTGTCTGAGTCTACAGAGAAGACCCCTCTGGCCATGGAGCTGAGAAGGGCATTGATTTCATCTTTTTGGATTTTTTTCAGATCTTGACTGGAGAAGACTGGAATGAGGTGATGTATGATGGGATCAAATCTCAAGGGGGTGTCAAAGGCGGCATGGTGTTCTCCATCTATTTCATTGTGCTGACACTCTTTGGGAACTGTATCCTTTGGAGGACCTGATGATGTGGGGGGAGAGAAAGAAAGTGGGGAGACTGGGGCGGGGAGGGTCTATGTATACAGGTTATAGTGGGGCCTGGAGGATGTGAATAAATGTATATATAACCAGCCAAGAGGAGGCAGAATATGGCATGGGGGACTTGGAGTCAGCAGTACCTGAGTTCAAATCCTTCCTGAGACACTTCTTAGCTGTGTAACTTTGGGCAAGTCACTTAAACACTGTCTGCCTCAGTTTTCTCATCTAGGGAAAATGGGGATAATAGTAGCACCTACTTGCCAGGGTTGTTGTGAGGATCCAATGAGATAACCTTAAAGCACTATATAAATGTTAGTTACTATTATTATTACTATTATTAATCATTAATGAATGGATTGCTGGACTTGGAATCGGGAAGACCTGAGTTCAAATCCTGCCTCAGACACTTTGAAGTTGTGACCCTGAGCAAGTCACTTTAGCCTCTCTTAGACTCAGTTTCCTAGTCTATAAAATGAAGGGGTTGGATTCAGTGGCCTCCAACGTCTCTTCCTTGTGCTTGGACTGGCTCTGGCTCTTTCCTTGACGCCTGGCTCCCCAGATACCCTACTGAACGTATTCTTGGCTATCGCGGTGGATAACCTGGCCAACGCCCAGGAGCTCACTAAGGTGGAGGCGGTGGGAGAATGTTTCTCTGGCAAAGTTACCACCTGCTCATGCCTGATCAGGACAACCTAGTGGAAGGGGAGCCTACGGGGATGGGAGCACCAAAACTTTGTAGTGTGCAGGATCAGAATGTGTCTTCTAGATCCCAAGGAAGAAAGGAGGGAAAGAAGAGAGGAAGAAAGGAAAGAAAGAAGGAAAGAAGGAAACATGAATTTATTAAGCACCTACTATGTGCCAGGCACTGTGTTAAGTGGTTTACAAATATGATCTCAGCTGGGAAGGTCCCAGTTAAGAAACCAGCTAGCCATAGGCACCCCAACCTCCATAGACTAGAGGGTGAGAGGGAGGCAGGCCCTAGGTGGATGTGGATTAGACTTGAGCCCATGAGGCTGGTCTATATATGCCTTGCCTATATTCTCATCAGACAAGTTCTGGGCCTTCATAATGGACTGAGGAGTTAAGAAGACCTGAGTTCAAATATGGCATTAGAAACTTATTAGCTGTGTGACCTTAAGCTAGTCACTTGATTTTTGTTTGCCTCGATTTCCTAAACCGTAACATGGGAATAATAACGGATCCCCACCTCCTCCAAGGGTTGTTGCAAGGATCAAATGAGATAATTTTATAAAGCGCTTCACACAGTGCCTAGCACATAGTAGGCACCATAAAAATGGAAATATGTTAGAGATTGGAGTCTTGAGTATGATTTCTCGGTCTGCCTGGAATTTGTAGATAAAGAAGCAGGACAATGAAGATTTGGAGTCAGGAGACTTAGGTTGGTTTGAATCCTGGCTCTGCTATTTACCACCTGTGTGACCCTGAGCAAGTCACTTCCCTTCTCTGTTTCCACTTCCGCATCTTTACAATGAAAAGGATGGTGAAGTCCCTTCCAGCTCTAAAGAGATAGATTTTCTATCTTTCATAGAAGATCTTACATCCTGGGCTAGCATCCCTCTCTCCCTACGTCATGTTAGGCGACCCCTTCCAAAACCTGTGAGTTGATAATGTACCCAGAAGATACAGTCTTGCTTTAGTATCACTTAAAGGCATACAGGTTTGAGGAGATGGTGGTGCAGTGGATAGAGCACTGGACTTGGAATCAGGGAAGTCTCATCTTCACAAGTTCAGATCCAGCCTTAGACACTCACTAGCTGTCTGACCCTGGGCAAGTCACTTAACCCTGCTTGCCTCAGTTTCCTCATCTGTAAAATGAGCTAGAGAAAGAAATGACAAACCGCTCCAGTATCTTTGCCAAGAAAACCCCAAATGGAGTCACAAAGAGTTGGACATGACTGAAAAATGACTAAATATATGAAAAAAAAAGCTTAGTTTAGATACAAAATCAATGACTCTTCAATTGCTCACCCCAAATGGTCTTTCAGGCAGTTATTGCTTCCTGCTCTGGTCTTGGGCTACTGAATTGTCTAAGCAGTTTTCCAGTGGTTGTGAACTGTGCCCTGTCTCTGCCCTAAAAGCTAGCCCTGATTTTTCTAGCTACTGGACTGCCTGGGAGCCTCATTCATTCAACAAGCACCTTGACCTACTATATGCAAAGTGCTAGGAGAACTATAGAGTAAAAAAGGCTCCAGTCCCTTGTCCTCAAGAGGCTTGCAATAGAGTTTCACTCAGAGGTACCCCAGAGGGGGAGTGAAGGAGAAATATCCCCCCAAAAAAACTTTTCATTCCTTAATGTACCCCCATGGCTCCTGGAAATCTCGAAGACACCCCTGGAGCCAGCCAGATAAGGAAGCTACCCTTTATGCAGCAAAGGAGGGAGAGAGATTTTGAAGCCTAGCACTGATCTGGAGTGAAAGGAACCCCCAGGATTCTTGGAATATTTGATCACATCTGGCTAATAGACAGAGCCTGACCTGACTGTGGGTTAGAAGTAGGCTGTCTACACTGTACACTTGAGGCTCTGTTTGCTGAGAGGTGACTTAGTGCAGGAAGAGCCTTTACCATGAGCTCACAAAAAGATCCAAGAATATGTGCCTGGGGATGAGCATTTTGGTGGGCTTGCCCTTCCAACTCTTCTGCCTCACTTCTTCTAAACCTATACTTTGTCTTTGCTACTATCCCCTAAACCCCACCCCCAGTAATTTGCGTTCTCCTGATACATCACCCCTGCTCTGGCCTCACTCTCATCACTTCACAGTGTAAATCACATAATTAACCAATCCAATTATGCATAGCCCTTCACCTTTGAATCCCTCCAATCCTGGGCTGCCCCCACCATCTGCCTTCCCTGCTCCTAGTTCAGTGCTGCCAAAAGCTGCTGGAAAGAGTCATGCATGCATGCTAACTAGATCCACCACAAATTCATGTTTTTCTCATCTCAAATGGGCCCTTTCAGCTGCACAACTGTCTTGTCTTTCTTAGATTCTTTATCATACTTCCCACAATGGCTATTCCAACATACGCCGCCTTCCATTCTCCCCCCAGCAGGTGATCTTGTCTCCTCCAGGCTGCTGTCCATAGTGAACTTCCTCACCTCCTCTACTCCATTCTCTTATCCATTCCCTTTTCCTTTGTTTCAGTCAGAGGTAGACAGAGACACACAGAGAGAGACAGAAGACAGAGACAGACAGACACACAGAGGAGAGAGACAAAGAAAAAGATAGAGGAGAGAGACAAATAAACAGAGAGACACAGAGGGAGAGGGAGAGAGACAGAGAGAAAGACAGAGGAGACAGAGAGAAAGATAGAGAGAAGAGAGAGACAGAGAGACAGAGGAAGAGAGAGAGACAGAGAAAGAGAGAGGAGAGAGACAAAGAAACAGAGAGAGACACAGAGGGAGAGGGAGAAGGAGAGGGAGAGAGACAGAGAGAAGGAGGGAGGGAGGGGGAGAGACAGAGAGAAGGACAGAGAGGAGAGAGACAGAAACAGAGGAGAGACAGAGAGAAAGGAGAGAGACAGAAACAGAATATGGGGAGGTAGAGAAAGAATGAATGAATGGATAAGTTCCCAGAGAAGATGGGATGTATGGGATCATGACTAGAGGAGCCAGCTTTGGCAAATAAAAGGGTTCTCTCTGTCTCTCTCTCTGTCTCTCTCTCTGTCTCTCTCTCTCTCTCTCTGTCTCTCTCTCTCTCTCTCTCTCTCTCTCTCTCTCTCTCTCTCTCTCTCTCTCTCTTTCTCTCTCTCCCTCTCTCTTTCCTCCCCTCTCATCTCTCCCCATCTACTACTAAAAACTTCTTACTGCCTACAGATATGCTCAGGTCTCCTCCATCTTAAAAAAAAAAAGGTACTTTCTCCTCTCATCCCATCAGGCTAATATTCAATATCTCTTCTCCTTTTCACTGCTCAATTCCCAATCTTCCATACCTATTGTTTTCACATCCTCACCAGCTTCTCCTTTCTCTACCCCCTTGCAATCTGGCTTCCAAACCTACTACTATACTAACACTGCTCTCTCAAAAATTACTAAAAATCTCATAACTGCCATATCCAATGGCCTTTTCTCATTCCTTATCCTGTTTGAATACTCTGCAACTTTTAACACCATTGTCATTGTCCAAACCCCTTTTACTAATTAACTCTGCCTTCTCTTGATTTCTTTGACATTGATTCTATGTATCTGACGGCTTCTTCTTAATATTTTTTTGATGAGGCAATTGTGGTTAAATGACTTGCCCAGGGTCACACAGCTAGTATATGTCAAGTGCCTGAGGCCAGATTTGAACTCAGGTCCTCCTGACTCCAGGGTTGATACTCTATTCACTGCACCACCTAGCTGCCCCCTCTTAATATTTTTTGTTGGACCCATCCGTTTATGGTCACCTAGGCATGAGTGTTCCCCCAAACTCTGTCCTAGGTCTTTTCCCATTCTTTCTCTATATTTTCTCCCTTGATGATCTGCACTTTTGCTGTGAGCTTAATTATTATCTTGGCACAGATGATTCTCAAATATATTTGTCCCTAATCTCTCTCCTGAGCTCCAGACCCATATTACCAACTACCTAGATCTTCAGTATAGCCATTTCATAAATATTTATTGATTGATCTCAAACTCAACATGTCCAAAATGAAACTCCTTATCTTTTGCCCTATCCCTGCCCCCTTCCAAATATCCTTGTTTCTGTTTAGGGCACTACCTGAGGATTCATAATCTGAATAATTCTGGACTCTTCCCCTTTTTCTCCCCCAGCACATCCAGTCAATCACCAACAAAAATTTAGTAAGTGCTTACTAAGTGAAAGGCACTGAGCTGTGGGCTGGGAATACCACCCCAAAAAAGACAAAACCTTCAAAAAGCTTACACACTAATGGAGGAGCCTGCATGGAAATAAATGGGTGCAGACAAGATACATACAGGAAAAAAAGGAATGTAATCTTAGAGGTAATGTAATCTCACTCTGTGTCTGAGAGTACCAAAAAAGCACCCCACAGAAAGTGAGGTTTGAACTGGGTCTTGGAGGAGGCCAATGATGTCAGGAGGCAGAAGGAAGGAGGCAGAGCATTCCAGGCCTGGGGGATGCCAGCTAGCACAGAAGCACAGACATAGGAGATGAAGAGTCCTGTACAAAGAACAGCGTGTAAGTTGGTATCACCATCCTGTTGAGTGCATAGAAGTCAGTAAATATGAGAAATCTGGAAAGGTAGAAGGGAACCAGGTCATAAAGAGTCTTAAATGTCAAGAAGAGGATTTTATATTTGATCCTGAAAAATAATAGGGAGCGATTGATGTTTATTGAACAAGAGGGTGACATGGTCAGACCTCCACTTCAGGAAAATCTCTTTGGCAGCTGAATGGAGGAGAGATCAAAGTGGGGAGAGACTTGAGGCAGGGTGACCAATTTGAAGGCTATTGCAGTAGTAGAGGAGAGATATGATGAGGGCTTGAGCTAGGGTTACAGCTATATGAATGAAAAGAAGGGACTTATATGAGAGATTGTAGGGATAATAAAAAGTGACAAGATCTGACACCTGATTGGATATAAGGGTGAGAGAGAATGAGGGATTGAAGAGGAAACTGAGGTTCCAAATGTGCAAGACTAGAAAGATGGTGATGCCATCAACAGTAATAGGAAAGTTCAGAAGAAGGGAAAGTTCGGGGGGAAAGACAATAATTTCTAGGGGCAGCAAGATGGCACAGTGGATAGAGCACCAGCCCTGGAGTCAAAGGATCTGAGTCCAAATCTGGCCTCTGACACTTACTAGTTGTGTGACCTTGGGCCAGTCACTTAACCATGATTGAGAAAGAAAGAAAAAAAAATAAGTTCTGTTCTGGACATATTGGGTTTGAAATGCCATAGGACATCAAATTCCAGGGCAGCTAGGTGGCACAGTGGATAGATCACTGGGCCTGAAGATAGGAAAACTCATCTTCATAAGTTCAAATCTGGCCTCAGGTACTTACTAGCTGTGTGACCTTGGACAAGTCACGCAACCAGTTTCCTCATCTGTAAAATAAGCTGGAGAAGGAAATGGCAAACCAATCCAGTATCTTTGCCAATAAAACCGCAAATGGGGTCATGAAGAGTCAGATACAACTGAAAAATGACTCAACAACAAAGACATCTAATTCTAAATACACATTAAGTGGTTAAAGATGCTGGACTAGGGCTCAAAGGAGACACTAGGCCTAGATATATAGGTCTGGAAATCATCTACTTAGACATGATAACTTAGCCCATGGAAGTAGATGAGATCGCCAAGGGAGATAGAAGAAGACCCAGGGCAAAGCCTTGAGGAATAGCCACAGTGAGGCAAGATGACAAAGATAAGTTACCAAATCTCATCAGCTCTACCATCTCCCATCTCTCCTATCATAAGACCACCACCCTATTTCAAATCTCAATGACCTCTTACCTGGATTATTTAAATTGGTCTTCTGGCCTCTATTGTCTTCCCCTCTTCAATCCACCCTTCACACAGCTGCCAAAATAATCTAGTCTGATCATGCCACTCTCCTGTTCAAAAACCCTTGACGATTTCCCATTGCCTCTAGAATAAAATAAAAACTCCTTGGCCTGGCATTTTAAGCCATCCCCAATCTAGCACCAACATACTTTTACAGTCTTATTCCATTTTTACTCCTGCTCCCCACCCCATCAGAGCCTATATTCCAGCCTAACTAGACTATTAGCTGTTCCTCTGAGCTTCATATGCCATCTCCTGACTCCGTTATTTGCCCACACCGATGCCTGGAATACACTTCCTCCTCACTGCCTTGGAATCCTTATTCTCTTCCTTCAGGCACAAGGTTCTCTGTGTAGCCTTCTCTGAATCCCCAGGTTATTAGCACTCACTCCTTCCTTAAAGTACCTCATATTTACTTCTGGTGTGCCCTAAAATAGAATGTAAGCTTCCTTAGGACAGTGACTGTGCCCTAAAATAGAACATAAGCTTCCTGAGGACAGGGACTGTTTCACTCTTGTCTTTGTCCCCAGCATCCAGCACAGTGTCTGATGCACAGTAGACACTTAATAGATGTTTGTGGAATTGAATTTAAATTTGGATATAGTTGTGTCTCTGCTAAGTCAATTGAAATTGGAAAATTCCATTGAGAGAGGCCCATTGCCCCTTCTGCAGAGAATGCAGATGGCTGAATCAGGTTAGGAAGTCTGGTTCCAAGGGGGTCAACTCCCTAGGGGATGTTTAGCTTGGAAAAGAAAAGACCTGTGGGGGGAAGGAAAGAGACATGGTAACTGTCTTCAAATATTTGAAGGGTTGTCAAGTGATTAGATTTGTTCTGGCTGATCTCAAAGGTCAGAACTAGGAATGATGGGTAGAAGTTCCAGAGAGGCAGAGTTAGGCTTAAGGTAAGAAAAAAAGTCTTCCACTAATAGTGGGTCGTCTAGAGTAGCAGGGCAGAGAGAGGGGAGCACTGTGGATCCTTCCATCCATCTTCAATTTCAAGCTTGAAAACCATCCATCAGGGTTTCTCCAGAGAGTCACACCCACTTGGGGATGGCTTGGAGTAGTAGCCAGCCTCCTCTCCTTCGTTCTGATGAACCATATTGTAGATCAGACCAGAAAAGAGGAGACCCTCCACCTGCCAGGGAGCCAGGGCACCCAGCTTTGGAAAGGCCTGGGAGACGGGTCCTAGAGCTGAGGGTCGTTCCTTTCGACCTCATGTCCTTGATCCTCAGGTGCTTCTGCCAGGGAGCTCAAACAGGGAAGGACGGCAGTGCCGTGATCCTTAGCCTGAGAGGTCCCATGCAGAGGGAAAGGGGAAGCCCATTAGCCAAAGACTGGCTGACTCTTCTCCACCTCCTTGTTGTAGCTGACAAGGAATGTCCTGGTCCGGCTGTTTCCTAGGTGGTAACTTTGCTTCCTTATCACAAAGAGCTGTGTCTGGCTAAGGAAGGTGCATTGGAGTAGCATGATGACTCTATCGGTGGGGTTTGTTCTGTCCATTTCTTTCTTTCTTTTTGTTTTCTGTTTTACAAATAAGGGGCTGCATGGAGGCTGAAGATGGATTAAAAGTCCAAAACGTCTTTTTATGTATGTATTTTTTTAATGTCTTTTTTACGCCCCCTTTTCCAACTTCCTTCTCTCTGAGTCTGTCCAGCTGGTGACCCCCCCAGGGAAGGCCAGCAGCAGTGAAACTTTTCCTGGCTTGCCCTTCCCTCTCAATCTTCCCCTCCCCCAGAGAGAGCTCCATCCATGCCCCTGCGGACCCATGGGCTCCTTCCTCGTGTCTTTCTGCGGGAGCTCTGTGCACTGCATGCCACGCGTGGACCAGCGAGCTTCCTCCCTGTGTCCCTGCATGGGGAGCTGTGAGCACTGCATGCTGTGGGCCGTGGGGCTACTGTGGACCAGTGGGCTCTCTCCTTGGGGCTCTGTGTGGGGAGTCATGAGCACTGCATGCCATGGGCTGCGGAGGAAGCTATGGGAGGAGCCCTGTGCACATGGGGGTGGGCGGGAGAGGTGGGGTTTATTCCCCATGCATGTGGGGCTGGCTTTGGGGATTCAGAGACCTGAGGGGCAGGAAACCAGGAAGGAGGAGGGAGCAAAGTCTTTGACAGCTGTGCCCCGGCTGCTCACTGGCCACTCCAGGCAGAGGCCAGGCCAGATCCCAGCTGGGGAGATTCGGGGAGGGGGGGCAGGTTTTAGAACAGAGCTGTTAGCAATCACCAGTCCATGCTAGGGTCAAAAGCCAGGACCCCAGGCCTCTGTGCGTGGTTTGTGAATGGGGAACATGTGTGCCCTTTAGGATGAGCAAGAGGAGGAAGAGGCAGCCAACCAGAAGCTTGCCTTACAAAAAGCAAAGGAAGTGGCCGAAGTGAGTCCTCTGTCTGCGGCCAACATGTCAATAGCCATGTAAGTGCCACCCATCCAGGGGAGCCTTGTCAAGAGGCCCAGGGACCCAGGGCCTGACTGTTTCCATCCCCCGGGCTAGAGCATGCACGAGGCTGCCCAGAACCCCTCTGTTCGGCGGGAGGATTAGGGAGGGCGGCTTCCTGTGGCCGACCCTTTGTTGTCAAGCAAGCAGACCCGTTATCTCCTTAATACTGACCATCTCTTAGGGGCTTGGGGGAGCCTTTGCCCCTGTGTGGGGAAGGGAGCATCGGGACAAGCTCTTCTTTGCCTGTGTGAGGATTTTCCCTAACAAGGCAGAGATGACTGGGAAAAACTGTTACCAGAGGGCAAGAGTTTTGAACCAAGGAGGATGCCAAGGGAGGTGGGAAAATCTTCTTTGGAGCATTTTAAGAGCAGGAAAGACTCCTATCCAACTGAGCTAAAACCGCTGCCTTCCTGTTCAGAATCAGGGTGAATGTTTTCTCCTTTCATGCCCCCATGGTTCCATTCCAGGAAAGAACAGCAGAAAAACCAAAAATCCTCCAAGTCAGTGTGGGAGCAGAGGACAAGCGAGATGCGAAAACAGAACCTTCTGGCCAGCCGGGAGGCTCTCTACAACGAGCTGGGTCCTGAGGAGAGGTGGAAGGTCTCCTATGGCCGACACATGAGGCCCGACATTAAGACTCACCTGGACAGGCCCCTGGTGGTGGACCCACAGGAAAACCGCAACAATAACACAAACAAGAGTAGGCCTAGTGACCCCTCCATGGATCAGCGGCTCAGCCAGCAGCGTGCTGAAGACTTCCTCAGGAAACAGGCCCGTTACTACGACAGGACACGCGGAGGTTACGAGCGGGCTGATTCGGGGGGTCTGGAACCTCGGAGGCAGAGGAGCGGCAGCAAAGAGGCTGACCTGAACCACGAAGGGTCCTATGGGAGGGAGCCAGAGTATCAAACCAAGGAGCGTGACGGGAACCAGGAGCGCGGCTTTCGGGAGGGAGAGCCAGACCGGAACAAACCAGGGGACCCCCATCGGAGGCATCAGCATCGGCAGGGGGGCGGCAAAGAGAGCCGGAGTGGCTCTCCTCGGACAGGGGAGGGTGATCGGGAGCCTCGGAGACACCGGGCCCATCGGCGACCGGGTGAGGAGGGCACTGAAGACGGCAATAAGTCAGAGCGGCGGTATCGCCACCGTGAAGGGAGCCGGCCCAGCCGAGGAGGTGATGGGGAGAATGAGCCTCCAGACGGGGACCGGCGGCGGAGACACCGCCATGCTGCTCAGTCTACCTATGACAGTGACCTCAAGAGAGAAGATAAGGAGAGGAGGCATCGGAGGAGGAAGTAAGTAAAGGGAACTCCAGAGATTGGGTAGGACGGGGAATAGTGGCACCATTATCATCAAAGGTCATCTCTTAAGTGGCTAACTGGGCCTGGTGCTGACCATACCCAGGAAATGCCTAGCTATCTCTCGGAGCATCCAGGCCCAAAGAGGGACGTGATTTTTACCATCCTATTTCTGCTATTTCTGCCCTTGAGTTGCCCATGTAAGCGATCTCTGCGTCAATTCAGTCTCTCTCTCCTTTAATTTTTCCTGTGTTATTATGCTTAAATTTATTTAATGTTAATAGTGAGCTCTTCTGCTTCTCCTGAGCTGTTGGAGAAGCCTTTCTGCATTTCCCTCCTACTGCTGGGCTGTCCAGAACTCCTGAGCCATTTGGCCTTTGGGCAGTCTGTGTAATAGGATCAAGTTTGCACAGGGCGCACCTTCCCCAACAGGCCAGGATAAGACCTCCTGGGTACTCCGTCCTCTGCTATTTTTCTCTCTCTCCCAGAAAACGGCAACAACACATGTTCCTTCCTTCCATGCCCATTGCCTTCTGAAGAAGTTATCCAACCCTCTTATTCACTCCCATGAATCTCCCCGGATACTCACTACCTATTTCCAGAAAGGGAGCAAAGGAACTCTTGGTATGGCCCTAAGCTCCCATTCTTCGGGTAAGATGGGCTGTGCAGAGGTCAGGCATTGCTCAGCTTGGGAAGCCCCTGCTCTCCACCATCACCATTGGTGTCACTGGTCATCAGCCCCACCCTCAGTGTGACTCACTGTGAGCTGCCCCTTCACCCCATGGGGTAACTGACATTGGGCACCTTCACTCTTCCCAGTTGAAGCCCTGAGTGTGCTCTATGCATGGGACTTGGGAGAGGGTATGGATAGAGATGGGGTGGAGTTTGGTTAACGGTGTAGGAGAAGTTTCACCTGGAAGTCACTAAGTTCTCTCAGTAAGACTAGTTAATTCCAAAGTAGATTTGAGGCACGTTTTTGGAGAGACAGGTGTTAAACTGGCACACCAAGAAGAGCATAATGTGTCACGGACTTAAAATCAGAGAAAACAGTTGTTTAAACCAACTAGTGGGAGGGGCCCTGGGCTGGCTGTCAGTTTTATTTTTCTAAGATCAGACGGGATGACAAGACTTCAGTTATCCCTCAGAATGTTCAGTGAAGCCACAACTGATCATAATAGCAAAAGTTTTATCCTAAGGTTGAGAATTTTTTTTCTTTTTGGACCACTAACCTACAGGAAAAAAATCAATTTACAGTCATAGTTCACAGAATATTAGTTAGATGTTTCCTTAGAGGCTACCTAATCCAATCTGTACATGAACAGAAATTGCCTCTAAAATATGCCTGACCAGTAATATTTCAAGACCTTGAGTGAAGAGGAAAAGAGGAAAGCCCCCATGTCTGTCCTAGGGACAGCCCATTCCCCTTGCAGGCAGCTCTAACTTATAGGAAGATTTAAGTCTCCTTTGGGGTGCTCCTGGTGCTGCCCTCTGGGGCCAAACAGAGCAGATGTAATTCCTCTTTCTTATGACAGGCCTTGCAGATTCTTAAAGACAGCTGTTATGTTTCCCCTAAGTCCTCTTTTCTCCAAGCTAAGCATCCCCAGTTGCCTGAATCAATGGTAATATTCCATGCTTTGAAGACCCTTTTTCATCCTGTTCACTTGTCAGCTTACCAAAGTCTTTCTTCAAAGAGGCAACTAGGGGGTGGAGTAGATAGAGTACCGGCCTTAGGTCAGGAAGACCTGAGTTCAGATTTGGCCTCAGCCACTTACTAGCTTGGGGAAGTCACTTAACCTCTGTTTACTACAGTTTCCTCATAGTAAAAGGAGCCTGATAATAGCACCCACCTTGCAGAGTTATTGTGAGCATCAAATGAGATAATAATTGTAAAATGCTTAGCACGGTGCCTGGCACACAGTAGGCACTTAATATATGCTATCTGTTATGATAATTTATTATTTTAAAAATAATATAAATATAATTATATTATATAATTATATCTTTATATATTATACTTTAGCATAATATATAAATATAATTATAATAAAATATAAATTATTAAATTCAGAGCATAGAACTGAATATAATACTCCATATATGGTCTAAGCAGGGCAGAGTGCTATGAAACTCTCACTCACCCCACACACATATACACTCTTATTCTGGACACTATGTCTTTCTTAATGAAAAATAAGATTATATTACATAGTTGTTTCTGGATATCATATCACTCTTTTAAGTCATATTGAATATGCAGTCCACTGAAACCCCCAGATCTTTTTCCAAATGAGCTGCTATCCAGCCACTCCTCCCCCATCTTGTATTCAGGAAGTTGATTTCCTGGACCCCCAGTTTGAGACTTTCCATTTATCCCTGGTAAATTTCATCTTGTTGCAGTACCTCTACTATTCTAGCCTCTCTAAATTTCTTTGAATCTTGTCTCTGTCATCCAGCATAGTAGCTATCCTTCTGAGCTTTGTGTCATCTGCAGACTGGATAAGTATGTTGTTTATGTCTCCCATTGAGTAATTGAAAAAAATGAAAAATAAACTATTTAACAGCACAGGGCCTAAGACAGAAAGATGGCCTCCAAATTGGGAGCCATGGCCAGTCTTTCCAATGATAGCCAGTTGTGGGGGCTTGTCTCCAACACGATCACACCTGCCTTTATCCTCAGGCTCCTCCAATCCACCTTCCTCCCCTATGCAAGCTCCGCATCTCCCCTTTTCTGAACCAGGCTTCAGCTCCTCAGGTTAGTTCTAACCCAACCACGACTAGGCACCCATGGCCACATTTTCATAGATACCCCTGAGATAATCCCTTCTAGTATACCCAACCTTTGTCCTCCAGATCACTTCATGGCTATGGCAGGCATGCCTGGGTGGGTGGGTTCTGCACTCTGGGGCAGTGACAGGTAAAAAAAAATCCTGCCTCCCCTACCTTTTGGAATAGGACATAGTGAGTCCCACTGAATATGCAAGCATGGATAGGTGCAAATCTCATTACATTATCTTTTCCCCTAAACTGACTCCTCTTTCTTCTAGTCGCCCAGATTTTTAACCTCAGAGTCATCTTTAACCCCTGACTCCCCTCCCCATATCCAGTTGGGTACCATGTCTTTTTGTTTCTGCCTCCACATGTCTGACATCTTTCCCCTCTTCTCCAGTCCTATGACCAACCTCCGTGGTTCAGGGCCTTCTTGCCTCTCCCCTGGATGACTACAACAGCCTCTTCATTGATTTCCCTGCCTATGGTCCTCTCACCTCTCCAATCCATCCCTGACACAGCTACCAAAGTTATATTTCAACAGTGCAAGTCCAACCAGGAGGCTTCCCAATTCAAGAAACTCCAGTGATCCCTTATTGACTCCAGGATTGAAATTATTTCATTTTTTCTTATCCTTTTAAAATGTCTAATTCTTTGTATATGCTTTATAATGCACATAATTATTAGTACAGTATGTGAGTATATATTATATGTATATATAATATGTATATATATTATGTATATATGTATAGTATATGAGTACTCATATAATTTTTAAATAAATCTATACACATTAGGGTTACATGCCCCCAAATTTTTATTGATAGGGGTCCATGATCAAAAAAAAATTTGGAGATCCTTGAACTAGGGAACTTCCAAGTTAACATCAAACCACTATTAAGGAGCAGCTAGGTGGTGCAGTGGATAGAGCATCTGCCCTGGAGTCAGGAGGACCTGAGTTCAAATCCAGCTTCAGATTAGCTGTATGACCCCGGGCAAGTTACAACCCCAATTGCCTCAAAAAAAGAAAGAAAGAAAGAAACAATTGTTAATAGGCAGGCAGGTGTCACAGCAGAGTATTGGATTTGGAGTCAGGAAAATCTGAATTACTAGCCAGGTGAGCCTGACTATGACATTAGCACAGCATTTAATAAAGGTTAGCACTTTCTTCTGGAGGAAAAGATGGAGAGGTAAGAGCTAGATGATAAGACCTAGATAATTATTAATAGCTGGCATTGATATAATACTTGATAAAGTGCATTACCAAGATTATCTCATTTTATCCTCACAACAACCCCGGGAATTAGATGCTACTATTATCCCCATTTTTGCAGTTGAGCAAACTGAGTCAGACAGAGGTTAAGTGACTGCCAAGGTCACTCAACTAGTAAGTGTCTGAGGCTAGATTTAAACTCAGGCCTTGATGATTATGGGTCTAGCGCTTTATCCACTATGCTAGATGATTGAAGACCCCATCATGACTCTGTGTTAGGCTTATGATTTGTTTTCCAAACTCCTCTTCTACTTTCTCTCTCTGTCCAGGTGGTCTGATACCAATAACAATTAGTCTACACACCCATAACAATATTGCTTTTGCTTCTTCTACTATTATTTCCCATCCAAATGTTTTCCACCATGATTCCTAGGATAAGAAGTGAAAGGAAACTTTATGTCTATTAGGGATGGGGTGGTTGGTTTGTATTTGAAAGCACCTACCTGAATTTTAAAATTAAAAATAGAGAACCCAAAATTTTAAAAAATGAATGTTAAAAAGTGTTTTTACATGTAACTGGGGAAAAATAAAATATATATTTTAAAAAGACAACAGGGAAAAGAAAGGATGTCACAAGAGAGTGGTTTTCATGGTGTAACATCCTCCTCTTCTGGCCTTTTAGTATGCTAAAGGGTTTTACTCTTGGATTTCTTTTTTTGCACTTACAGGAATAGCTGTCCCCATTCCTGCCTTAGCCCTTCTTGGAATCACTGTATGCCTCAACTTTTTTTGGGGGGGGGGCGCTGTTAGGAGACCACTGAGATCAGTGAAGGGATCAAACATTTAATAAATGCTTACTCTGTGCCAGATACTATGCTGAGTGCTTTATAAATATTATCTCTTGATTCTCACAATGACTGTGGGAAGTAATAATAATAATAATAATAATAACTAACATTTCTATAACACTATGTGCCAGGCACTGTAGTAAACACTTCATAATTATTATCTCATTTGATCCTTACAATAACCCTGAGAGGTAGGTTCTATTATTATTTCTATTCTACAGATGAGGAAACTGAAATTAAATGACTTACCCAGGCTCACACAACTATAAACAATGTCTGCAGTCAGATTTGAACTTGGGTCTACCTCACTTCAGGCCTAGTGTTCTATCTACTGTGACACCCAGATGTAATTTTCATAAGTGAGACATGTGGTAGATGCCCTGAGCAAGGTTCTGCTCTTGACTAAGTCTTGGTTTCTTCATTTATAGATCAGGGGAATTAATTTCTGCCCCATCTTGCTTAAGAGAGTGACTTATACCATAAGCAAGCCTCAAAAATGGAACCTGACTGGGTCAATGTTACCATCTCACACCGAGCCTACATAGTCTAAGGAATGAAAACAGCTTTACCTACTAGCATAGATTTTGGGAACCCTGAATCAAGTGAGCTAACAAGCATTTATTAAGTGCCTACTATATTGTGCTGGGTTCTTAGCTCTAGGGATACAAAGACCAAAAATTAAACAATCCCAGCTCTCACGGAGCTAGTAGACGAGATATCCTGTACATGTGTGTGTGTGCATACATATGTGTGTATAAAGAATAAGTAAGAAAATAAATCTGAGAGTTAAATACAAGGTCATCAGGGAGGGAGGGCACCAAGAGCTGGGAGGATCAGGAAAGGAATAGCACACTGTCATTTAATCATGTCCAACTCTACATGACCCCATGGAAAGTCCATGGGGTTTTCTTAGCAAAGATACGGGAGTGGTTTGCCATTTACTTCTCCGGTGTGTCCCCATTTTACAGATGAGGAACTGAAGTAAACAGGGGTTAAGTGACTTGCCCAGGGTCACACAACTAGGTCTGAGACTGGATTTCAATTCAGATCTTCCTAACTCCAGGTCCAGTGCTCTATCTACTGCACCACCTCTCTGCCAAAAGGAATCATGTAGAGGGTGATAACTGAGCTGTGTCTTAAAGAAAGTGAGGAATTTATGAAGAAGTACATTCTAGGGGCCACTAGGTGGTGCAGTGGGTAGAGCTCCAGCCTTGGAATCAGGAGGGCCTGAGTTCAAATTTGACCTCAGACACTTGACACTTACTAGCTGTGTGACCCTGGGCAAGTCACTTAACCCCAATTGCCTAGCCAAAAAAAAAAAAAAAAAAGAATAAGTACATTCTAGGAATGGGGAGCAGGCAGTGCAAAGAGGAGGAAACAGGAGGTGGAATTCTGTGTGAGATGAAAGGAGGGAAGGCCACTTTGGGCATTAGAGTATGGGAAGGGGAATAAGTTATAATGAGAACAGAAAGGTAGGTCAGGGCCAGGTTTGTGAAGGGCTTTAAAAGCCAAGTGGAATTTATATTTCATCCTAGAACCAATAGGGAGCCACTAGAATTTATTGGGTAAGGGAGTAACATGGTCAGAGCTACACTTAAGGCATCTTTGAGTCGAGTGAATTATAACAGGGAGAGACCATTTGATGGTGGCCTGGACTCAGAGGGTGGGTATGCCCCGCATAGAAGGAAGGGGTTGGATGGGAGAGGCATGGAAATAGAAATGACGAAGTTTGGCAGCTGATTAGACATGTGGGATGAGGAAGAGGAAAATCAGAAGATGATCCCAAGGTTCCAGACCTGGGAGATTGGAGGAATGATGAAGTAGGTAACTTTGTTCATCAGTCCCAGATCAACAAATCACGTTATTGTCCGATAAGAATTCTGATACGTGCCTCTAACGTCTGTCACTGGATTAACCTCGCTGGGACTCCTTATGGGTCAGTGCCTGCAAGTATCCCCGTCTTGGACATTATGCCCTGGTCAGGTGGTATTATGTTCAGTTTGGAAAACCACATTTTAGGAAGGACATTGATCATATGCAGCAGATCCAGAGGCTGGAGGGATCGGAAACCACACTTACCAGCTAAAGTCCAGACTTGTGGTCTTATGCAACTCAGACCAGATAAAGAACTGGAGGTGTTTCGGCGAGGAGAGAACACTCAGGGCAGACAGGAAAGCTGTGTTCAAGTATTTTTAAAGCTGTCACATAGAAGTATTAGGTTTGTTCTGCTTTCCCCCAGAGGGCAGATCCAGAAGCAGTGGGCAGAAGTTGTAGGGAGGCAGACTTCAATTCAACATAAAGGATTACTTCCTAACAATTAGAGTTGTCCAAAAGTGAAATTAATTCCCTTGGCAGATAGTGAGCCCTCTGTCATTGTAGAGGTCACCAAGCAAAGTCTGGATAGTCACTTGGGTTGGTCATGTTGCTAAGACAATTCTCATTCAGAGAGGAACTGACCCCAGAGATTGTTGATTCTGTGGTTGGTTCCCTAGAGAAGACCGTTGAGGATGATACTACTTGTGAAAGATTTTTTTTTTATCTGTCCATTAGGTTCCACTAAATTGTGATTATCATGTTGTGTCAGCTGCACATTTGAAGCTTGAATCTCGGGCCATGACTCTAAGATTTTGACTTTATTTCCTAACTTGGATTTGGTTGTTTGTTTTTTTTCCTCCTTTGGACTGCCTGCCTCAGAGAGAACCAAGGTTCTGGAGTCCCTGTGTCTGGCCCAAACCTCTCTACCACTCGGCCAATCCAGCAGGATATGGGGCGTCAGGAACCTCCATTGGCCGAAGATATTGATAATATTAAGAACAATAAGCTGGCCACCACGGAATCCACCAACCCTCACAACACCATCCATGCCCTCCACCCCCAGAGCCCAGCCCAGATGGGTAACCACACCAACTCCCCACCAATGCGGCCCCCACCCAATCAGCCAGCTGGGAACCCATCCAACCCTGGGCCCCCCAAAAACCCAGAGAATAGCCTTATAGTCACCAACCCCAGCACCCAGAACAACCCAGCCAAGACTGCCAAGAAGCCTGAGCACACGGCGGTGGATATCCCCCCCGCCTTTCCCCAACCCGTCAACAACACCGTTGTCCAAGGTAAGTCTCTCCTCCTCCCCTCTCCCACTAGGTGTAGCGCTGTCACTTTGAGAGCCTACTGGGGAGAACTGGGAAGCAGAACCCCTTCATTCTTTTTCTGATTCTGTTACTCATTCCCTGGGCACAAGCCCCCAACAACCACTACCACTTTTACATGTTGCTGTACTGTGCTCCCCTCTCTGCCCCATTGCCCCTTTTTAATGTGAAGAGGGTAAAACCCAGTGGGGTGAGAAGAAATGGGAGCATTTTTAGGGATTTACATTATTTTAAGCTCTTTCCAAAAAGAAAATCTCAAGTGAAATCAGGTTTTAATTTCTGTAAACTACTTGGAGTTAAACTATTTGGCATCAGACGGTGATGTCTGACACCATCTTGCTCAGGGTTAGGAACTAACACCTCTGAGGTTATCCTTTTCCAGAATGCACTTCTCACCATCCGAGATACAGAAGTGTGCTTAGTGGTGATTACTTTCCAGACTGCATTATCCATACCAGGCAGGGTGGTGCAGTGGGGATGGAGCATTGAATTTGAAACTGGCAGACCTGGGTTTACATCTCAACTCTTCATGACATTGAGCAAACTATGTAATCTCTCCAGCCTTCAAATACCTTAGCTGTAAAATGAAGTTGGCCTAGGCCACCTCTAATGGTGCGTCCAGTAGTAATCCTTAGATCATTGGGGCAGCTAGGTGGCGCAGTGGATAGAGCTCCGGCCTTGGAGTCAGGAGGACCTGAGTTCAAATCTGGCCGCAGACACATAACACTAGCTGTGTGACCTTGGGCAAGTCACTTAATCCCATTGGCTAACCCAAAAAAAAAAAAAAAGGAAATAAATCCTTAGATCATCATGGTCCTCGGTAGCTTAGGAGCACATGGAGCTGGGCAGGTAGCCTGGTTGCTGCCAGACACTGCCCTGAGTACCCCTTCTAGCAGTGAAAGGCTACTCTTGCTGCCTGCAAGCAAGCAAACAGCACAGATGTCCTGCCTCCTCAGGAGAGGTGAGCTGAAGCTGGAGACCTTGGGAGGTAAATAGTGAGTGAGGCTTTTTGGTGATGTGTCTCAATAGTAAACAAAAACGCCAACCCAGACCCACTGCCAAAAAAGGAGGAAGAGAAGAAAGAAGAGGATGACCCGGGAGAAGATGGCCCCAAGCCTATGCCCCCCTACAGTTCCATGTTCATCCTGTCCACCACAAACCCGTGAGTATGGCCCGAGTCAGGACTTTGGTGGGCTGGACCAAGGCTTCTGCCGCTCTGGGCTCTTAATGACCAAGACAGCTGGCTAGTTCTTTGTGGGAGAGGTCAGTTTGGCAGTGTGCCAAGGTCTACATTGCTGTCTAATGATAGCCAGGCAGGAGCTTTAATTCTGGGACCGTGATGGGGTGAGGGAGCTGCTGCTGGTTTAGTGGAAAGAACATGAGGTCTAGCAGCAGAAGAGCCACAGTCAAAGCCCAGTTCTTCCACTTAAGACCTTTATAATTAACTTAACTACTCAGTGTTTGTTTTGTTCCATCTAAAAAATGAAGGGGTCAGACTAAATGGCCTCTAAATCATTCCTTTTTGATTGCCTGTTAGACCATCACTTGTCTTCTGAGTTTTTCAGGCAGGACATACTTACTGATAGAGGTGGATATTTGAACATAGTTATGAATTTGGGGAGAGAAGTTGCCTTAGCAGGTCAGACTAGAGCAGTGTTTCTTAAACTGAGAGTCAGATGTCCCCAGGGATAGGGGGAGAGGGAAGGGGGAGGTGAGATCAGAGGGCTAAACCAGAGCTGTGTTTCCCAACAGCTGCAATGAGGGTGACCAAGAGTTGTGGTCCTAAAAGGTTGGTTTGACCTCCTTCCTCGGCCTGGGCTCTCCCTCTGTCCCCTTCCTCTGAACCTTCTGCATCTGGAGCAGGGATAGTCACAATGACACCGATTTTATTTGATGTGTTGGGGGAGTATGGGGTCCTGAGAGCCCACAGGGGAAGACTCATCCTATGGGTCTGGGATGATTCTGACGATCTCTAGTTTTTAGCACTGGTATGGGTTCTAAGGTCACAAAAAGTGTGCTTCCTGGCTCTGACCCACACCGTCTCTCCTTCTCTCCCAGCTTACGCCGGCTGTGCCACTATATCTTGAACCTTCGATATTTTGAGATGTGCATCCTGATGGTGATCGCCATGAGCAGTATAGCCCTGGCAGCTGAAGACCCCGTGCAGCCCAATGCCCCCAGGAACAATGTGAGCAGCTCCCTATAGTCCCCTGGTTCCACTCTCCTTCAGGTTGCTAGTTTTCCAAATTAGCGTTGGTCTCTTTGAAACATAAATTTAGCTCAGAATGTCCAGGTCCTTGAAGAAAACTCATTATCTTTCAGGGCCCCCTGTGGCTTTTTGCACCCAATCCTGCACCTCTGGAAAGCCCAGCTCCGAGACCCCCAGAGTGCAGTGAGGGCCTGCATTCTCGGCTGGCACTTCTCACATAATGGAAACTACAAAGGACCAAGCCTGTGGTTAATGGCCTTGCAGGGTATCTGTGAATCCCTGCTGGGCTGTACACCCCCCTCACCTAAATAGGAACCACTAGACACACTACAGAGATACCCAACTGGGAACTGGTCTGTGTTGGTCTTGAGCTTTGGGGGTCTGAATTTGGAGAGCTAACTTGAGTTGAAATGCAAAGAGGATAGATAGATCACAGCTCCTATAGATTAAGAATGGAATGGGCTGTATGAAGAGGTAGTGAGATCCCTGTCCTTGGGGGTATTCATGCAGAGACCGGATGACCACTCATCTGAGGATTGATCATGCATCAGCAGGATTTGAATTTGGACGGATCCCTTAGGCCCTTTCCGGTTCTGGTTCTAAGTCAGATCCTGTGGCCCCTCCATCTCTTTCCAGAAGCCTCTGATTTCCTTGGAGGACTCCTCCAGCAGAGCTTTGATATGTAAGGGGCATTGCCTAAGCTTGTTCTGCACCCTCAGTGAGCAGTGAGGTGACCCTGAATACGGGGGCGGCTGCTGGCTGACAGAAGCCAGGTCAAAGCTCACGTAGACCCTGCCATCACTCGGATGCAGTACATGCTGGGACCCACGGCCAAGAGGCTCCTGAAAGTTAGTTCTGTTCACGCCTTGTACCCACAGGCCGCCATGTTTTGATTCTCGCAGCCTTTACATTTATAACTTACGGCCTCTGGGGAGACGACTATTTGACCCAGAAACAAGGACTAAAAATGGCTCCAAACTTTGGTAAAAGAAAGCTTCTCTGGGGCCGAGGACCGGGGCCCCACTGAAGGTCAGCCTGCCCCTACTGCTCTGATGCCTTCACTTCCCAGAGACAAAGCTAGGTTTCCTTTTTCTTTTATGAAAATAGGCAGTTCTTCATAAGTAGGTTGGGGGCGAGGCCACGGCAAGTCCCATAAATCAGAGGCTGGTACAATCACCCTCCGCAGCTTACCTTGCATTTTCTTTCTTCTACTCCAGGGCTGCATGGAGCCTGCTGGGACCTCGTGGGGGAGATGGACAGAAATAATTAGAACACACCTCCCCAAAGGAGCCGGAAATCAGGGCTGTGCTAAAATGTCTTGTGCAGCTCATTTTTTCTGTCTCTTCATTTCTACAACCAACCTCTGGGGGTTGTAGCCGAGGAGGTCTGGGTCCCAACAGTAGAACCTATCTTGGACCTAAATGATGACCAGGTTGGGAGGGAAGGAACACATCACATGAGAAATAGCCATAGGACAGGTTCAGGAGACGATGTGGGCCAGGGGAAAGAACACTGAATTTGGAGTCCCAAGACCCGGTTTTCAATGTAGTTCCAAGAGTCACTTGCTGTATGACCTTGGGCAAGTCACTTGCTGTATGACCTTGGGCAAGTCATTTGCTCTTTCTTGGACTCAGTTTCCTGACCTGTGTAATGAGAGGGTTGGATTAGATGACCTAACATCCCTTCCAGTTCTAAGGGTCCACAGTTCTATGAACTGAAGATGTTTTGGCTAAAGAAGAGAAGATTTAGGGGCAGCTAGGTGGCGCAGTGGATAGATCGCCAGCCCTGAAGTCAGGAGGACCTGAGTTCAAATGTGACCTCAGACCAAACACTTGACACTTATTAGCTGTGTGACCCTGAGCGAGTCACTTAACCCCGATTGCCTAAAAAAAAGAAGAAGAAGAGAAGATTTAGAGGGTACATGATAATGGTCTTCAAATATAGGAAGAGCCTGAAAGGAATTATATTCGTTCTGTTGGCCTTGAGTGACAGACCTAAGAACACTGGGGCAGGGGAGGAGAGAGCTGGGGAGGAATTACTGGAGGCAGATTTTGTCTCAGTTTAAGGAAAAAATTCCTGACAATCAGCACTGTCCAATAATAGACTTTGTTACCTTGTGAGATAGTGAACTCCCTGCCATTAGAAATGTTCAAGCAGAGTCCAGGTGACTACTCATCGAGGGTACTCTAAGAGGGCAGGGTGAGCTGTTCATCTATAGGCCCCTTCTAATCCTTAATATGGGCAGCAATGTAAAGAGTACTGGGCTTGGAATCAGGAAGACTCATCTTCATGAGTTCAAATCCAGCCTCAGATACTTACTAGCTGTGTGACCCTGGGCACGTCACTTAAAACCCTCCTTGCCTCAGTTGCTTCATCTGTAAAATGAGCTGCAGAAGGAAAGGGCAAACCACTCCAGTATCTTTGCCAAGAAAACCCCAAAATGGGGTCACAAAGAGTCTGAAATGACTGAACAACAATCCTTAATAGGGTATGACTTGGGAGAAATTTAAAGAAGCTATTTATCTGTTCCTGAGGTGGATGCTTCCATCCAGGAGGGAGGGAGAGATCGGATCTGGTTTTTGATGAGGACAGGATTGGACCCTTCTGATCCCAAAGCGTTCCCCAGACCACCTGTCTGGTAACTGCCTCCCCTGCTCCAATGAGCAGCTGCCTGGAGCTGCAGGAGCAGGCAAGGAGTATAACGCAAGAACATTGATCCTTGCAGCAGTGAGAAACCACCCCGAGGTGCATCCAGAGCCTGTGAAACCCTCTGGACTCTTCCTCCTCCATTCCATCAGTAATATTTCTGGTACACTAATCATCCACTCAACAAAAACAAGCTTTCATTATGTCATCTCTTCTCAGCCCCTTGCAGTCCGCCTTCTGACCTCATCACTCAACTGAAGCTGCTAAATCTAAAGTGACAAATGCTCTCTTACTTGCCAGGCCTCGGCCTCTCTGTAGTCTTCATCCTTCTTGACCGCTCGGCCACACCAGCCGCTGAAGACCACCTCCTCCAGGACACTCCTTCCTCCCTGCTCACTCCTGGCTCCCCTCCTACCTATCAGACCTCTCCTCAGTCTTCTTTGCCTTATCTCCATCCATGTCCCTGCCCTTAATCTTGTGCGCTTCTCAAGACTCTGCCCTGAGTCTTCTCTCCTTTCCCCAGACCCTATCTCTGGGTGGTCCTAGCAATTCCCTTGGTCTCCACTGTCTCCATTTGGGTGACTTGCAGATTGCTGTCATAGGTGCTAGCACACTCTGGGTGAGCACTGTCATCTGCTTGTCCTTAAAAGAAAGGGAAGGGCCATACGAATACACCCAGCCCATCACCTATGACCTCTATCCAGTCCTAATCGCTCTCCTAAGGTCCAGACCAGCATCACCAATATTTCCAACTGAATGTCCCATAGAAACCTTAAACCTGGTATGTCCACAACTAATTATCTTTTCTCAAAAACCCTCCCCTCTCCCTATGGTCTCTATTTCTGTAGAGGGTAGGTACCATCATAGAGGCAATTGGTGTGCAGTGGACAGAATACTAGCATTAGTTCAGACCTCTTTACTAGCTGTGTGACCCTAGGCAAGTCACTTAACCTCTGTCAACCTGTTTCCTCCCCTGTGCCAAATGGGAATAATAATAGCACCTAATTCATAAGGCTGTTGTGACAATATAACGAGATGACAGACATAAAGCGCTTTGCAGACTTTAAAGTGCTATATAAAGACTAGTTATTATTATTCTTTCAGGCACCCAGGTTCAATATTTTGGATTTACTTATCTGGGTTCATGTGGTTGTCCTCCTCTCCCCCAATGGAATGTGAGCTTCTTCAGGGAAGAGGCTGTTTCATTTTTTAATTTATATTCCTAGCAGCTAGCACAGTGCCTGGGACTGTGAACACTTAATAAATGCTTGAAGAATGGATGGGTGGATGGATGGATGGATTTCCCTTCTCTAGAGCTTATAATGGGCTCTTATTACTGGTCACCTCAGTCCAAACTCTTCTGCCAGACCTTCAACGTTTTCTATAATCTGGTCTCACTTCATTTTCCACACTACTCCTTGATTCATATGACAATTATTTAAGCCCTTAATATGGTGAGGGTACTATTGCCAGGGCTATGGAGGACATAAAAATGTGTAGGCTAGTCCCTGGCCTCCAGGAGCTGGCCAGTACCCTTCCCCCATCCGCCCATGTGCTCATTTCCACCTCTGGATCTTTGCTTGTGCTGATTACCCATCCTTCCCTCCTCCATCCATTTCAGTCCAACTTGTTTTCCAAGTCCCATTTCCTCCCCCTTGTTCTGAAGCACCAGGGTGCCTGGATTCACTGTGACGCACTTGGGCTTTCATTGTATGGTGTATGTGTCATTCTTCTCTCCTGAACTGTACTGTGAACTCCTTGAGGTCCAGGATCGTATTTTTTATGTCGATATATCCCCCACAGGGGCAGGCACATAGCAGTTGCTTAATTGGTGATTTGTTGATTGACTGAGCTGAATCATAGATGTTACTTGATCAGCAGAATTTTATCAAGCCTATAGATCTTTAGATCTGAGTAGAAAGGGGACGATGTGCCTGGATTTCAAAGATCACAGGGGTTTATTACCTCAGCAAACCATTCCTGGCTCCCTTCATACCATCAGGAGTCCCAGACAGATGGTGGTAAGGAAATACAGAAGTCAAACTGGCTTTGGTCCAGAAGATTAAATCTGTCATCTTGCCATCAGAAGTCCTCTCCTGTTCTGCAAGTAGCCTCTTCCAGAGGACTGGACGTCGAGGAAGAAAGTGCCTGGTGATCAAGGTGCTGGGACGGGCTCATGCTGGAGCAACTTTGCTGTGCTGTCTTCCCCCAGCTAGGCTTCACCACTCTCTTCAGTATCAGTGCCTTTCTTGTCATATCTCTTTCGTGATGTCCAATGAGAGCCATGCCTATTTCTCCCTGCTTTGGCCCAAACAAGAGATTATTGGGTAGGTCAGCACCAGTGTTTGTGAGATCATCTTTTGTGGGATAGAGTGGGAAGTTGCCTAAATGGGGAGCAGGAGAGGTATTTAGGTGGCACAGGAGATACAATGAAGAACCTAGAGTCAGGAAGAATTGAGTTTAAATTTAGCATCAGACACTTTACTAGCTGTATGACCCTGAGCAAGTCACCTAACCTTTCTCTGCCTCAGATTCTCCATCTGTAAAATGGGAATAGTAATAGCACCCACCTCCCAAGGTGTTGTGAGGACAAAATGAAATAATATTTATAAAGCACTTTGTAAATCTTAAAGCACTATATGAATGCTATTATATAATATATACATATATACACACGCATATTATACACACACACACATACATATATGTAAATGCTAGCTATCAAGTCCATGTATCAACCATTAAGGGATGGTAATTCCTGCTGTCTCTTGGCAAGGGGGAGGGGGGCTGTGGAAGACTGAAAGGAGAGGTAGAAGGGAGAAACTGAGTTGAAGGGACTGGAATAGGGAGGGGTCTTACCTCAGGGGTCCCCTCTGAAGCACACTCCCATAGGGGAGGAGATGTGTCCCTATAAAGAAAGATTGGGACCTTGTGATAGATTTAATCTGAGAAGAGTTTGTGTATTAAGCAGCCACCTTCTCTGAGAAAGTGTGCCTTCATGAGCAGTACCCCACCCCAGGAGAAAGGACTTGAGAGTTCCTAGGGTCAACTGGTACCCAGAATGGAGGGAGAGGTGGGGAGAGATTACCTAGAGGCAGAGATGAGTTGGTCTCTGAGAAGACTGATTATATAGAGGGCATGGAATAGGATTGGGCCACACAATTAGGACACAAGGCAATTTATCCCATGAGATACTGCTTCTACCAACATGGCTTTCTTCATGAATTAATACTTCTAAGATCAAAACATGGCAGGAAAAAAATGGAGGATGAAGCAAGGGCAATTACACAGAAATTGGTTAGATACTTGATACTATACTAACTGTGCTAACTTGATATCTCAGAAGCTGACATAACTGACAGAGAGAGAATAAAGAAGGAATAAATAAAAATTGGGCCCACAAATCAGAAAATAAAATTCAGAATAGAATATAAGGGAAGAGAAATAACAAAGATAAAGCAAAGTTTTTAGGAAAGGGGGTAGTAAAAGAAATTTAACAAAAATCAGAAGTTGGGGAGAAAGGTTTTGAACTAATGACTTAACTGAGCTGGGAAAGACAAGAGAGTGAAGAGGGAGAAAATAGATAACAATAATATTTTAAATGAAAAAGAAATTGATTTGAGTAAAGTCCAAGCACTAGGGAAAGGGTGGGCAACGGGGATTGAGTAAGGGGAGGAGATCCTATGTGGGAAGAGGTTAGCATCAATGTAATTGAAGACTTACCCAGAAGATCATAGGTTTAGAATTAAAAGGGACCTTGGAGTCCATCTAGTGCAACCCTCCCCCCCCACTTAACAGATGAGAAAACTGAGGCCCAACAGTACCTAAATGAATTGTCCAAGGTCACACGGGTCGGTAAGTTGCAGAGGTCATTGCTCCATTCTCTGCACCCTGCATGGTTAGAGTTAGGCTGAGTTCAACACCTTGGCCACTGACCAACCACCAAGGGTTAAGAGCATTCATGCACTTGTATATAAATAGGTTAGGACTAGGGGAAGAGAAGCTCCCACAGAAGCATTTGCTCTTTGGGGAGGACTTGCCTTCATGAGAGCAGCAAAGTCAGGTTAAATGTTTGGTTCAGCACCTGCACATCTGGAACATGTGACTCCACAATTTGGAGCTTATTCATAACCCAAGGTTAGAAGGACATGCCAGGCTCTGTGGATCCCTTTGAGTTTTCCTCCTTTAAGCCCTTGATTAGAGCTCCCCAGACAAACGACCTGATACTAAAGTCGCCAAATCCCCACCTGTTTGCAGCCCAGATTTCTGGGGTGGTCCCTTCTCTAGGCTTGTGTCTGAGAAACAGCACTCTCAACCTACTTCCCATCTCTCCTGCAGGTGCTGCGGTATTTTGATTATGTCTTTACCGGTGTCTTTACCTTTGAGATGGTGATCAAGGTGAGTGCCAAGAGCTGGGAAAGAGAAGCCCAGGACTGGGATGTGGATTCTAGGGGGGAAAGGTTGGGGTGTGAATAGGGCCCTTGCCCAGAGACTCTGAGAGCCTCCATGATAGGGCTATAAGAGAGTCCACAAAAGCATAGTGTCCTGAGCACTGCAGAAGAAGTCAGCTTGGCTTCTTGGACACCATGTCTTTGGTAATTCTAATATTCTGTAAGCACTTTGGGCTATGTAATGTAAGTTATTATTTTTATTATAATTGCTATGTTTAAGGCAATGAGCTAGGCACTTGGAATACAAAGATGGGAAGGGAAGAAAAGGAAGGGAATGGAAAGAAATGAAAGGGAAGGAAAAGGAAAACAACCCTTTCTGCTCTACACACCCCCACCCCCCAAGGAGTTTACTTTCCATAGGAAGATACAGTGAACAGATAAGAAAACATAAGACTTTTTGAGAAGGGAGAAGGCACCGGGCACTAATGACTAGGAGGATTAGAAAAAGCTTCCAGATGCCTCCCAGGGGCTCCTTATGACCTCCAGGATCAAACACAAAATCCTGTTTGGTTTAAAAAGCCTTTCACGGTCTGGCTCCTTCCTACCTTTTCGGTCTTCTCATACTTTATTCTCCTCCACACACTTCATAAACCCCAATCCAGCAGCATTAACCTCTTTGCTGTTCCTCCAGGTGACACACCATCTCTCCCTTCATGCCTCTGCACTGGCTGTTCTCCTCCCCCCCCCAATGCCTAGAATGAGCTTCCTCTTCACCTCTACCCCCTGGCTTCTCAGGCTTCCTTCCAGACTCAGCTCAAATCCCCCTCCTGCAGGAGGTCTTCCCCACCCCACCCCCACTCCTAATGGTTCTTCTCTGAGACTACCTCCTATTTATACTGTGTATTTCTTCTATATACATAGGATTTGCATGTTGTTTCCTCCATTAATTAGACTGTGAGGTCCTTGAGAGTAAGGATTGTGTTTTTGCTTTTATTGCATCGCCAATGCTTAGCACAGCGCCTTGTAAACATTTAGTAAAATGCTTGTTGACTGACTTAATGACTGAAGGAAGGAGTACCTGACCTATACCTTAAATAGCAGGAAGCGTTCATCATTTCCTTCTTTATCTTAGACATGGAGGCCAAGTAGTAAGATTTTCAATGAGAGATTAAGCACAATTAAGCTGGCCCCCATTGTTTCAGGGCTAAAAAGGAGGTTGATGGGGAGAGTCCAAGAGGAAAGCATTGCCTGGAAATGGAGGAAGAGCCTGAGCAGAAAAGAACCGGTTTGCCAGTTTGCAAGCTGCTGCGTTGGGCTGATAATTCAAACTGTAGGGGAAAAGACCAATGGAAGATAGATCCAGGCGACACATAGTCTGAGAAGCTGTTTCATACAAAAGTCCGGGCAGTTAAGGAAGATAGCCTCAGGCAGGATGACAGGAGAGTGCAGAGAACAGCTGAAGACAGACTGTGGCTACAAGTTCCCTCAGGAGGAACACAGGGATGGAGAGTGACCCCCCCCCAGCCCCCACATCCAAGCAGGGGGCCCTGGCTGCCCCCACCCCCTGCCCCTTTCTCCAGGATCAGTACCACTCCTCCACTGTTCCCTGCCTGGCATTCGAGAATAGATGTTCTCATTTCTCACCTGCCATGGCCTGGAAAGAGGAGAGTTTTAGCTGGCCCCACATCCAGTTCCCCATTGTCCAAGTACAGGTCATCAGTCTAACTCCACCTGCCTTTTGCCCCTCCACCAGTTTGTTCACTCTTCTCCAAAGGCAGTTAGAAAGTTGAGCCCATGCATGTGAGTATACACACACACACACACACTGTACCACAAACACGGACACGAACACATTCCAAGGGTCAGTTGCCCTGCCTATCTACCATCAGCAGGGAAAGTGTGTAAAATCACAGGATGTTCACTGCCTTGTTCTCTTTGTACAGATGATCGACTTAGGGCTGGTTCTCCACCAGGGAGCATACTTTCGGGACCTCTGGAACATCTTAGATTTTATTGTGGTCAGTGGGGCTCTGGTGGCATTTGCCTTCACGTAAGTTTCCCAGCAAGCGTCCTGCTTGCCTATCCTCCCCCCTCCCTGCCTGGCTCTGCTCTCCCCTGGCTCAGGGGAAGAGTGCTCTGTAGTGATGGGGCCAGGTGGAATGGGGATAGAGGATGCATCCGGAAGCCAAGAAGGATTTGGACTGGCTTTTTGCATGATGTCTACCATGGGGAAAAAGGACCTGTCTGTCTCCCTTATACAGCAATGGTGTCTAACCTCATCACCTAGGCCCATTGCTATGCTGCTGGTCTCAGGCTAGCCTTGCCAGACCATTTCACTCACTCATTCTCTGGGTTCAGCCCTGAGCAGCTGTCTCTTTGGGGTCCCCCCCAAAGAAACAATTGGGAGCAGAATGTGCATGAGGATTCTGGGACCCGGATTCCCCCTTACATAGTAGGTGTGGTGCATCTCCCCCAGGTAAACATAACCTCTTCCTGCATTCCCACAGCACTGTTCCCTCCCCAAGGGCAGTGCTTCATTTTGGTACTCCAAAATGGCCCTTGAATGTCTGAGTACCGGGCAACCATTAAGCCTCCAAGGTGGTGGAAACTCTTCTAGCACAGAACAGCCCAAGCCATAGATATTTGGGCCAAGGTGAGCAGGCTTTGGTGGCTTCTTGCTGAGAAGGGAAGTCGGGCTTCTGGGAGCTTGGTTTCTGTGACACTCATGGCAGTGTCTTCAGGAGCAATCCCAGGCAGTGAGGGTCTCTGAGTCAGACCCCTCCCAGGTTCTTTGCCCTAAGGTTATAGTGGCCCTAAGCCTCTGCTTTCCCTGCCCATCTTGCCTTTAATCCCTCTCAGGCAGATCTGGAGGGTCAACAAGGTCAGTCATCACTCAAACAACAAATACAACACCTGGTTTGGAGGCCAGGAATTTCTAAAATTTTGCAAGGTGGCCTGTTTTCAATGGAACCCTATGTAGGGCCCCTACAATTCTACATCGAGACCTTCAATTCTACATCAGAGACATTTCTTTATGTGAATATATCTGAAGCATTAGTGCATATCCACTTATTGAGCGAAAAACAGCCAAAAATTCTGATTTGCTCTGAGCTCAGCAGACAAAAAGAAAAAGAAAATTTCTGAGGCAGCTAGGTGGCATAGTGGAACACCAGCCCTGGAGTCAGGAGGACCTGAGTTCAAATATTGCCTCGGACACGTACTAGCTGTGTGACCCTGGGCATGTCACTTAACCCCTACTGCCTCAAAACAAACAAACAAAAAAAAAAACCCAACAACAACAGATTCTTTAATGAAGCCAAAAGTTGAGTATCCAGACTCCTGGTATTTCTAGTTCTGTCCTCTTCTCTCTCTCTCTCTCTCTCTCTCTCTCTCTCTCTCTCTCTCTCTCTTTCTCATTTCTTTTGACGTGAAGCTGACTCTCACTACTCATTTTGGAGTTAGTAGGTTTGGCCCTGGGGAGGGCTGGAATAGAGAGATCCTCTATAAGTTAGTCTGACAGCTAGAAAAGGGAATCCAGGGTGGGGAGTGCCTCTGAGGAAGTCCCAGGCCTAGCTATCCCCAAATAAAACTTAACTTCTTGCAGTGAGGGAAGGACACATACATGTTCCAAGTGTCCTTTGGATTTTAGGACAAGTGGTGAGTACCATGAGTCTACCTTCGTCATGAGCAAAAGCCTAAGCATCTCTCTGCTTGGCTGGGCTGCAGCGAAGTGGTAATGTGTGAGCCCCTATGTGGAGGGGAAAGGGCTGCCTCATGTTCACTAGGGGTCTCCCTCCTTGAAGAGATACTCATCTCCACACATCCATTCATTCCCATTATTCATAAGTACTTAGTCTGAACCCTTTGCATGCTCTGCTCCAATTAGCCAGTTCCCTCAGTTATTCCATCATGGTCCATACAGGAAATATTGTGCTGGGGGTGTTAGTTGGGTGTGGCTTCAGTAGAATTGTCTTTATGTTTACTTCATCATCAAATTAACCAAGACTTTCTTTTCTCAACTTTTACGAACACTGAAAATCTTCAGCCTAGGAATCAGCTTTTCCTGAAAAATGTTTCCCTGTCTCCTTTCCAGTGGGCAAGAGATCTCTTACCTACATAATGGATAGATGCCAAAGGAAACCACCACCTAGCCTCTCTGAGCCTCAGCTTTGCCATCTATTAAATGAGAGGGTCAGCCTAGACAATGTCTGAGGTTGTTCTAGACCTAAATCCTAAGGCCCCATGTTTGTACTAAATGTGGCACACACAGTGTACTGCCCCATTGGTCCTCTCTTGAACCCCTGCACTGGAAAGTAACTGCAGGGAGGCCTTTAGGAAGCCATGGAGGCTACTGGCTTTTTGGTTTACCCATGAGTAATTCTATGGGGGCCTAATTTAAAAAACCTCAGACTATCTACCCTAACCATGCCTACTTAACCTTCACAAAAGTGAATGGGGTAGATTTTTTCATGAGTTTGGCAAATTCTTAAGCACGCATCATAGAGTTTCCAAGTTGGAAGGGGCCTTAGAGGTCACTAAGGCCAACCTTCCACTCTTCCAAGGCACAGAATCCTAGAATCTTAGAGTTGGGAATCCAGGGGACCACAGAGTATATCTAGCCCATGTCCCATCTAAATACAGTTCACTGTTTTGCAATGAACATTGACCTGGAAGTCAAAAGACCACCCTGCCATTCCCAGGCTATGAGTTCTTGGGCAAATAGAGGCAGCATGTTTAGAAGACACAGCTTCAAATCCTAGCTCTGATACTTACTACCTATATGACTTTGGACTCTTCTCTGGGCCCCAGTTTCCCCAGTTATACCATGAAGGAGCTGGGCTGGATGACTTCTGAGGTCCCTTTAGGTTCTAGCATTCTGGAATTCTGTTGTTGGTGAAGATAAACGTGAGGCAACCTTACTCTTACTCATTTTGTACAGGTAGTTCTTGCTTTAAATATCCCTGTGTATGAATTTGTGGGGTTACACAAAAGAGCAATTAAGGGGATGATTCTTTGTTTTACAAAGGATTTACCATATGGGTCATCTAAATATTAAGTTCCTTAAGTACATTTAAAATAAAATTAATTACAAAAATTAGACTTGCACTCAGTTTCTCAGCAATACAGCTCCTTTGTAACTTGAGCTATACCTCAAAGCTCTAATGGGAAACAAAATCCATTTTGGGGAGACTTTTATTTTGAGGTATCCTAAAGCTTCCCTCCCCCTGCTATCTTTCTCCCTCCATTAGTCTGGTGATCTCAAAAAGGAAAGAAGAGGCTTACCAATAGAAAGGCTTCTGGGGGTTCCTTCTAGTCTTTTGTATTCTTGTGAGGATGTAGGTTTAAGGACTGACTGTGTTACTACCTATGTGTCCTTGGACAAATCATTTAACATTTCTGGGTCTCAGGGTCCTTAACTGTAAAACAAATTTAGACTAAATTCTCTCTAAGGTCCTCTCCAGCTCTATCTCCTATGATTCTCTAAATTGATCTTATTTTCTACGGGAATCCAAGGAATTGAGGGGGGGAGGAAAAAGAAAGTCTTTACTTTCTCTAAGAGTATGAGACCTGTTTCTAGTGGAAATGCCAGGCTTTTTGGATGATTGCTATCAGATTTGGGATCAGCCTAGCGTAGTGAGGAGGCCAGGCATCATCTCTGAGTCCTAGAGTGGAGAGGGATGGAGAGCCCTAAATCCCATGTTCCCTTGTTATTACCTGAGAGGAGCCTCTGAGGTTTCCTGGGAAATGACCCTGGAAATTCTCCACATAGTTGCGTGTTTCTAATCTTCTACATTGCCTCTAAATTTCCTCCTTCTTAGCAGGGACCCCTGATTTTCCTCTTTCCTTTGTTGCCAACGGGAAAATTGGGGGAGAGGCAGGGCCCCCCTAAACTCAGGTGACTTTGCTTCTTTGCCTTCCAACTCTGTACCCTTTAGTTCAACCACACTCTTCTTTCCTGAGCACCCCTCTACTTACAGACCACCACCCACCCCCAAAAAAAAGATGCCAAGCAAACCTCATAAAGCCAAAAGCTGTTAGGAGCACATGCTTTCAGTGCTGCTCACCCCAAGAGCCACCAGGTTCCTCACTGCAGATAGGTAAAACCAGAGGCCAAAGCAAGTATTATCCCTTTAGGAGTCTGAAGCCAATCTTGAGGGTCCTATAGTTTGTCCACAACTATGCAAAAAGCAAAATGGAATGTAAAGATTCAGGACACCAAAGTAATAATAGCTAGAGGAACCAGCTGAAGAAACCAGCCCCATAAATGGGGTGAAGGCTTAAGTTGTGTGTCAACTTCAGAAGGGTATTTTTTCCTCCATTGCTGTCCTTCCCTCTCATTCTTCTCCAAACACCAACACCTAGAGTATAAATGTTGCTCTTGTGTGTTCCATTAACTGTGTCATGCCCACTGTTTTTACCCCATCACACTGTGACAGACTCAAGGCAGTTTCATCAGGGACAGGCAATGGACATTTCTCAACAGCTGGAGTTTTATTATGCCTCAGTCCCCATCCACTGTCAAGAGCCCATCTGGATCTGTTGCTCTAGCCAGTGGAAAGGAGGGCCCAGGGCAGGCTTCTTATCCTCCCATCTCCTCTGACTGAAGCAAGAGTGGCAATGATGCTAATCATGGCCAGGCTGGGCACCTCTCAGCTCAGAGCCTGCCCTGGGCAGCTTCCAGCTTCTGCTTCCTCTTCAAAGGTCCTTCTCCAGCTGCCTGCGGCAGAAGCCAGGGTTTAGCCAATGTGGAGGATTTCTGAGATATGGACAAGAAGCAGAAGCTGTTGCCCTTTTTGTGGGTGGATTTGGGGGGGGGGGGGGGGGGGGGGAAGGTATTTCAAATTGATCTCCAGAAAAATTGAAGTCCCCCTTATGGGTCCAGGATTTGAAATTAGAAGGATCCCAGGGGTTTGGGGTCATTCCCCATTGCCATGGGCAAATGGTTTCATCAGCATATTCTCAAGGCCTTCCAAGTCATTTGTTGAGGTCACCGAATAGAGCTCCCATTAACAGATGGTCCTTATCCCCGATCTGATTTGCCTTGCCTTAGGTAATTAATTCTCCCTTAAAGAGCACTGCATTTTGAGTCAGAGGACCTGAGTTTGATTCTTAGCTCTACCTCCCACTACCTGAATGACCTTGGGCAAGTGAGTCATTTAACCTATCTGACCTCAGTTTTTCATCTGTAAAATGAGGGATTTGGTCAAGATAACCTCTAAGGTCCCTTCTAGCTCTAAATCCATAACCCAATGATCCTTTTTCCCCTAGAAAAATCCATCCCACTTGGAGCAACAGCTTGAGAGGGGCTTCTTTCTATGTCTGCCCTGGGCTGGGCCCTCAGGTGAAAGGTGTCTTACTAAGAGCCAAGCAGCTCTTCGCAAGGCCCTCCAGGTGGTGCTCTTGCCTTCGGAAACCATGCAGCCCTGAACCGTCTTGGTATCTTGAGCCATGGGGAAGTTGTGTCAGCTGTTGAGCAGTGCCCATTAGAACAGGGAAATTAGAACGTGTCTAGGCAGTGGATAAAGGGGTAAGTTTTTCAGACCATAGTTCTACTGTTGCTTAGCCAAACAGATGCCCCCCTAGGGTCTCTGAGGCCAGAAAGCAGCATGATTAGCACCCAAAATGACCCCCTAAATGAAAAAACAAACAATAGGCATCTTCTTATTTCCAAAGACAGAGCTGGAGTCCAGAGAAAACCCACATGCCAAAGCAGGGAGAAAGGTGTTGTTTAGGCATGTGTTGTGTGTTTTTTCTTTTGAGGTCGCTCACCTCTACTTGTCTCTCCCTCTCACCGCCACGTGAAACAGGAGTACTGCACGGTAAAGTCTCTCTTTCTGTCTCTCTTTTTCCTTCTCTCATTCTCTTGCTCTCAACCTAATGCACTCCTTTTATTTCTATATGTTTTCTCTTTTTCTATGTTTGTGGTTGCCTACCTGTTACTTTGAGTCATAGGGTCTGGACTCAATCTTTCACCCCGCTCCCCAAATATGTGAAAGCTGGGGAGCATCACAGAAAAGCCTACAAGAGGCTTTGAAAGCCTCATTCAGGTGAAAGTCAGGATTGCTGGCTCCCTTCTTGACCCAGCCACTGACTCAAGGATTTTTCTGATGATGTGTGCCTCAGTTGCTCATGTGGAGATGAGGCTAGTGAGAGAAATGGCAAATGTATACAAAGAGTTTCAGGAGTATTGGTGAAAAAAGATAAGGGAAAGGTATGACCTTACCAGATTTTATCTTCATTTACTTTAGAGGATGTCTGAGGAAGGTAGGTGGATTTCATTTGAACAAGATTCTTTAGCCCCTGTACATAAGAGGGCAGTGAAAAGCTAGACATCCTGCCCCATCTCCACCCTCACCACTGCCCCCAGGGAAAGACATGCCTCTGTTGTTACCTTTGCCCTTTGAAAACACACAAGACTGGTACACTGCAAAGCTAGTTCCTAATCTACCAGGGGTAGATGACCCCAGGTAGGGTCTGCCATTCTGCTATGCAGGATGAAAGGAGCTTGTTGCATGTTGGAGGGAGAAGGCTAAAGTTAATCTTAAGGCATTTTAAAAATAGGTGGTCATAGCTCTCAGGAAATTTATGGTGACTGGTAAATAAGCAGCAGCCCCAAGACTCTGGAGAAAGGCCCTAGATTGGCACCTCAGTTTTCCTGCTTATGCAGCGGCAATCCTTCCTTGTGGAACGAGGGATTCTGTCCCTCAGGAAGTATCTTTACTTTTTTTTAGCCTTCCATTTTTCTTCCCAGAAAAGAGAAAAAGACAGCTTAGGGAAGAGTAGGTATCTAGAAGAAAGATGTCTCTTTCACTCTGGGTCCTACTCGGTTTCTCCAACTAACTTTGCCACCAAGTCACAATAAACAGAGCTGCCTTCCTTTGGAGGCAGCCCTTCCAAACAGCTGTCCAAGGTCCTGGATCAGAGCTTTCAGAAGGAACTGTCTGGTAGGGGATAAGCCTGTGGCACCCAGAGTCCCCATCACCAGAGGCAGTAAAAGACCACCACCACCCACCATGGGCTTAGCAAATTTTATTTAGAATTCTTTAGACCCTGTGCTGTTAGTTGTGAGCTGGGTTGGCTCTAGGCGGCATCTCTAGGCAGTCCTGCAGGAGAGGGACATGAAGTCCCTGGGGAGACTCACCCCAATTAGGGAAAACACCAAGGGCCTTGGCTTCAACCCCTGGCAGTCCAGTCTTTGTTTTTGTTTGTTTTCCCCCACATGGACCTTCAGGCTATTTTGGGTTTAGCATTTGATTGAAAGAGCCACTTACCACCTCTTCCAGGAGTTCTTTTTAGGGTCTAGGACAGTTTTGTTCATGAATAGGGATGGAATGGAAAAAACACAAATGTCCAAAATACATCTACATCTTTGATCCCTTCTTTTTGCATATCCCAAAGAGAAAAGATCTTGCTTCCAAAAAACAAATATATTGACCTCTAAAGCTGCTTGAGTTTCTGGTGAGGACCTCCTGCTTAGTACTCAAAGAGATAGTTCATACCAAAGAGGGCAACCAGATGGGAAGGAGACTGGAGGCTCATTAGGATGGTTGGAAGAACTGGTGATGGAGAAAGAAGTGGACAAGAGAAGATTTGGGAGGAGATGTAATAGCTATATTCAAGTACTCACAACACTGTCCTGTGGAAGCATCATTAGGCTTTTTCTGCTTGATCCCAGAGGGCAGAACCAGGGCCAATGAATGGAAGTTAGAGAGTCAGATTGAAGCTCCATAGAAGGAAAAATTATAACTGACTGAAAGGTGAAGGGGCTGCCTCAGGAAGTAATGGGTCCTCTGTCACTGAAGGTCTTTTAAGCAAAGGCTGGATGAACATTTGTTAGGGACTGCCATTAAAGTGCGGGTTGGAATAGATGACCTCTGAGATCTCTTCCACCTCCTGGGAGTCTGGTTTTGTGGTTCTGTGATGGTCTGTTCAGGCAGAAGTCTTCACACACAGCTGGCTCAGGCACTGGGTGTTAACAGGGTTCACGGAACCCATCCTGCTAAGTGCCCGTATTTTTAAAAAGCCCCAGAGCTGAGAACCAACCATAAGGAGCAAGCTTCTACCATGTTCCAGAGCACAGGACCCAAAGGGAAGCTAGCCCATTTCTCCTCCAAGGTGGGGGAAACCATGTTCACTTAATTCCCAAGTGTTTGAGCATACCATACTCTTTGAGGGTGGGGGCTTTGTAGAGCCAGTTGAAGACCCCCCAACATCCCAATGCTGAATCTGAGTTTTGCTCTCTCTTGCCCCCTTCTCCTCAATTGTTCCCTACAGTGGCAATAGTAAAGGGAAGGATATCAACACAATTAAATCCCTTCGGGTCCTCCGGGTGCTGCGGCCTCTCAAAACCATCAAACGACTGCCAAAACTCAAGGTGAGATGGGAGCTGGAGGGTTTGGACCACTATGGAGCACAGCCATGCTCTAGGGCCCTGGGCATCATCTGAAAATATGAATGCCTTCATCACAATCTCACAGAGAGATCTCTGAACCAGGAGGCAGGAAAGCCTAGGTGTCTGGGCTCAGCAATAGTACCTGACTGTGTGACCTTAAGCTTCTCTCTACCTCCATTCCCTTGGCTCCCTGTGGGAGTAGGGGCAGCTAAGTGGTGAAGTGGTTAGAATGCCAGGCCTAGAGTTAAGGAAGACTCATCTTGGGGAGTTCCAATCCAGCCTGAAACACTTAGTAGCTGTGTGACCCTGAGCAAGCCACTTAACCCTGTTGGCCTGTTTCCTCATCTGTAAAATGAGCTGGAGAAGGAAATGGCAAACTGTTCCAGTATCTTTGCCAAGAAAACCCTAAATGGAGTCACGAAGAGTTGGACATGACTAAAAAATGACTGAACAACATGATGAGAGTAATAATCCTTCATAGGCAAATACAATGATGTCACTGAAGATGCCCTGTCACATTTATCTGCATAGTGAAAAGAGCCTTGTATCAGTAGCACCTGAGTTTGAATCCCAGCTCTCCTACTTAAGGTTAGGGTTACCTGTGTGACCTTAGGAAAACCACTTTACCATTCTGGGCCCTTAGGTTCTCTTCTGGAAAATGAGAGACTTGGACTGATTGACCACAGAGATCTTTCCCAGCTTAAAATCCCATGAATCTTTGAAAGTCAAAGCTCAGCTGCAATGTTAGGGATTGATATAATGATGACGATCATGACGATGATGTTGAGTCATCTTTCCAGTTGTGTCCGACTCTTTGTGACCCCATTTGGGGTTTTCTTGGCAAAGATACTGGAGTGGTTTGCCATTTCCTTCTCCAGCTCATTTTACATGTGAGGAAACTGAGGCAGACAGGGTTAAGTGACTTGTCTAGGGTCACATAGCTAGTAAATGTCTGAAGCCAGATTTAAACTCAGGTCTTCCTGACTCCAGGCCCAGAGCTCTATCCACTGTGCCACCTAGCTGTCTTAATAACAATAATAATAATAATGATAATAATAATAATAATAATAACAGCTAACTTTTATATAATGCTTATTATATGCAGGCACTCTGCTAAATGCTTTATAGTTATTATCTTTTTGGTCCTCACAGTAATCCTATGAGGCAAATGCTGTTATTATCCCCATTTTACATATGAGGAAACTGAGGCAAACAGGTTAAATGACTTACCCAGCATCACACAGCCATTAAGTGTCTCCGGAGGGATCTGAACTCAAGTCTTCTTAACTCCAGACCTAGTATTCCATATTTTGTGACCCTAGGCATCTGGTTCTACCAAGGAGTTGGGAAGAAAGCAAGGGGAGAGTTGGGATTAAGTTAGTTCCACAAAGCATGAGGGAGATCCATAGCATAGGCAGGTAAAAACAACAAGTAACTCAAGACAGAGATGATAAGTGTCAATACCCAAAGAAGAGCATGGGACAGTCAGGCTCAGAGAATGCAGAGATCTGGCTTGGCATCAGGGTTTAGGTCTGGGAAGGCTGCATTAACCTTCTATACAAGCCCCAGGGAACTTTGTCTCCCTCGTCTTTACCCTGGGACAGCATAAAAGTTGAAGCTTTGCAGCTAAGTCAGGAGAGGGCTAGTGGCCAGAGGCAAAGGAGGGCAGGAGGGGGAAGCAGATAGCACAGGGTCTCACCTCCCAGGCACTTTTCCCGTGGAGAGACCATGGGAAGAAGGAGCTTGCAGATCACTGTCCAGGATAGGGAGGGGTCTCCGGTTCAGCTGGGTGTACTGCTACCTTCCCTGCCTTCTCGCCCTCGACACAAGGCCCCCAGCCTGGTCCCTGCCCTGACTCCATGTGCTTGCTTCCCCTCCCCAGGCCGTGTTTGACTGTGTGGTGAATTCCCTCAAAAACGTCTTCAACATCCTCATCGTCTACATGCTCTTCATGTTCATCTTTGCCGTAGTGGCCGTGCAGCTTTTCAAGGGCAAGTTCTTCCACTGCACAGATGAATCCAAGGAGTTTGAGAAAGACTGCCGGTGGGTCCCCATCCCCACCCCTGCCCACCCACCTCCCTCCCTTCCCAAGCTTTCCAGCCCTAGATTAGAGAGGGGGCTCAAAGAACCCTGCTAAATGGACAATTCAGCTGTGGCTTGGGAATCGAGATGACGATCCCAATCTCACTCTGATCCTTGATGAAACCCTGCTTTCTGCCTCACTTGGCTATTCAGGGAAATGACACTCATGGCTCCTCTCCCTGAAGGCCTATGTCAGGCCTGTCCTTTTCCTAGGTGAGGGAAAGAAGCAGCAGCTGTGTGGCCTTTAAGTCATGCCTCTCTGGGAATGTGCCCAGCTATAAGAGCCATCCCTCCCAGGTGTGGGATGAGGGGAAAGGACTCTGACTATGCTGCCCATACTGGGAGCCGATGCTGCTTGACTTGAAAGGTTGGCTTGAAAGCCAACCCACAATCCCTACCCCTCATTCCTACCCTGCCCCTTTCAGAGCACTGGGGCCCTCACAACACCCCATCCCACTCCCAATGACTGCCCAAGATAAGCTACTTTTCCATTGATTGCCTTTCCTTCCTTCTCAGAGTCCAGGGGTATGGCTCCAGAGGGCTTCTCCCTGAGTCTGTTAACTGTGCCTCACTCCTCTTTCCCAGGGGCAAGTATCTCCTGTATGAGAAAAATGAGGTGAAAGCCAGGGATCGAGAATGGAAAAAGTATGAGTTTCATTACGACAATGTGCTGTGGGCTTTGCTGACCCTTTTCACCGTGTCCACCGGAGAAGGCTGGCCACAGTAAGGGTTTTGGGGCTCCTGGCTTCTAATCTGGGTGACACTTAGGGACCTCTCTGGGGCTTGAAGTAATGGAAGCTTTAGTCTTAGAGCCATCTAGTTCAGGACCAGGATGCTCTGTGAGGCCCACTTCTGTGTTCTTGAAAGTGACCCCACGTGTACATGGTGACGTTGGTCCTCTACTTGCTGCATCTGTGTGTCTGTTTCACATGCAGACAGAAATGCCAGAGGGGTCTCTTAGCATAAAATGAGGCAGAGGCTCAGCCCTCAAGATCAGGGAAATTCAATGAGAAGGCATTGACCACCATCTCCGCCTAGCTCTCAGTGAAGGGGCCTGAAGAACAATCACTAGCTAAGCAGAGACAGGGCTCAGGTGAGCCAAGGGAGCAGGACACAACAGAGAGGCAAACAGAGATGTTCCCAGCACCCCCATATACACAGACACACACACACACACACACACACACACACGCACACACACACACACATGCACACACATCCCTAATACCCACACATATCAGAAAGGAGGCATAGATCTACAGTCCACAAAAGCATAGCATGGCGGGTTACCCTATTATTTACAGGACAGATCTTACATCCCTAACTTGCTTCTTTTTTTCACTTTTTCATATTTCTTTCTTTGATTCCAACTCTTATCATCACCTCTTCCCATCCTTCCCATCTCAATTTCATCCCCTCTCAACCACCCTGTCCCACTTCTCTCCTTTTGTACCCCCTATCCTTGCCCTATCCCATCTCTTCCTCTTTTCTTCCCCTCTTTTAACAGGGTTCTCAAACACTCAGTGGATGCAACTTTTGAGAACCAGGGTCCCAGCCCTGGGTACCGGATGGAGATGTCCATCTTCTATGTTGTCTACTTCGTGGTGTTTCCATTCTTCTTCGTGAACATCTTCGTGGCCTTGATCATCATCACCTTCCAGGAGCAGGGAGACAAGATGATGGAAGAGTACAGCTTGGAGAAGAACGAGGTGCAGGCCCCTAATCATCCCTTCCCCTCTTCATTCCATAAGTTAGGAAATAGGGCTATTTCTACAGGCCACCAATTATAAAGCAGGGAGGTGGGAAATTCTGATTGAAATTGAAATTCTGTCCTTGTCCCCCTGGTGCCACCAATTCAGTGAGTGGACGACCAAGTCTTGGATTTCTCTGTAAGAGAAAAGATTACCTTGACCATCTTCCTTCTCTTCCCTCCTTCCAAGAGAGAGCCAGGATAAATGAAATCTTCTGTGAGAAGGTCTCAATATTTCAGCACAAAGGGAGGCATAGTATTCATATTATTGGTTTATCCTTGAGACAGGGTTGTTGTTATTGTTGTTTGTCCTTCGTTCTCAAAGAGGACCATGACATCAGGAAGGTGATGCCATGACTTGCAAGTGAATTGGATTTAAGTGATGAAGGGCTGTGCAAAGTCACCAGCCTCACCTTCTCCTCTGGAACCATCTGGGTCCAGTGGCATGATATAGATCAGGACGACTGGAGATGGCCCCCTGAGGACAAAGTAATGACAGCATAGCTATACCTTCTGTGAAAAACACAAAAATCATAGGAAGCTTGGAAGCAAAGGAGGCCATTTATTTTTCTGACTAGGCTCAGACATCTAGAATCCATAGCTGTACGTCGCTGGCTTACAGTTAGATCTCTCCCTGGGGCTCTGCATGGTTTGAGCTGGTGTTTGGGACTGAGGAAGTTGGAAAACTAGATACAAGATAACTAAAAGAATGGAAGCCAGAGCTTGAAGAGGGAGAAGGGATCACTCCAAGATCTGAGGGATAGGAGTGGGGATGGAGCTGATCCAATGGATGTTAGCAAAGGAAGGATGAATGAGATTCCCAGGAGGACTACAGCCTGCTTCCCCTCTCCCCCATACCATCCACTTACTCACTCCCCTGAGCCCCTCTTTCCCCCTCCCTCTCTCTTCCCATTTTCTCTTCCTCACATTGGTCTCACCTTTCTCCTTGCAGAGGGCATGCATTGACTTTGCCATCAGCGCCAAGCCCCTGACAAGGCACATGCCTCAAAACAAGCAGAGTTTCCAGTACCGCATGTGGCAGTTTGTGGTGTCCCCTCCCTTTGAGTACACGATCATGGCCATGATAGCCCTCAACACTATTGTACTCATGATGAAGGTGAGGCCTGACCACCTCCTGCTGGGGAAAAGGGGGAGGGGGAGGGGCTCCTCAGCAAGGCACTGGGCCATATAGAGCTGGGGGCCAGTGCAGACCAAAGACCCTAGGCTTTCCTTTCAGGGAGGGGGGAAGACTAAGTGCTCCAGCCTTGCCCAGCTGACTGTCCCCACTTGCCTTCCCATACTCAACAGCATGCCCACCCCCTCTCTTCTTCCTCTAGTTTGATGGTGCCACAATTGCTTATGACAATGCGCTAAGGGTGTTCAACATTGTCTTCACTTCCCTGTTTTCTTTGGAGTGTCTCCTGAAAATCATGGCCTTTGGAATCCTGGTAAGTCTACCCACATACTTGGCTTATGACAGACAAAGTGGAGAGACCAGGACAGGGGAGGGAAGGGGAGACCAGATGGTTGTCTTAGGGCTTGTTTCCACAGGCTCCATTGGCCATCTTGCCAGGGACTGAAGTTATCAGTCACCTTTAAAGCCTGATTTTTTATAATCACAATTTGGGTTCATAGGATTTAGAGATGGAATAGACTTTATTTTACAGAGGAAAGGGGAAGGGCCCAGAAAAGGGAAGTGACTTTCCCAAGGTCACACAAGTGATAAGTTCCCAAGTTCCTTGACCTGAATGGTGGTTCACATACTGAATGTTCTTCTTCTGAGTGCTTTTCTGTGCCTGGCACTGGCCAAAAGGAATGATTCAGTATACTCCTGCAAGGGGAAGGAACCCTGAGATTCTAACTTCATCTAAACTACAGGCATTGGTCAGTATGAGGAGCCAGTCTTCTCACAAGGGCTCAGTGACTCCCTATGGTCTTGACTGGAACCTCAGTAGATTCTGTACTGGGAAACCAGGCCAGATCACCTTTGAGTGTCACTGGGGCTCTGGGACTCCCCATCTTCTCTTCCAAAAGGAACTGATATCATTCCCTAAGCTCTCTTGGGTTTGGCTTCTAGCTCATACAAACAAGGTAGACAAATGGCTCCCTCTCAGTTAACTCCCTAGTTCACCATCTATGAAGGTTATACAATAGGGGATGAGGAAGGGGGAGAGAGAGAGGGAATAAGCATTTATGAAGTGCCACTATACTAAGCACTTTACAAATATTATCTCATTTTATCCTCCCAATAGTCCTGGGGGAAGGGGAGGTAATATCATTATCCCCATTTTCCAGTTGAGGAAACAGAGAATGAGGTTAAGTGACTTGCTCTGGGTCACTCAGGAGGTAGTAAGTGTTTGAACTCAGGTCCTCTTGACTCCAGGAACAGTGCTTCATCCACTAGGCCACCTAGCTCCTGGAGGACTGAACCAAAAAGTCAAAGACCTACCAGCGATGGCACTATGTGAGCCCCTAGATTCTAGAGGCTAGATTGTGGAAAACAGTCCAAAGGGGCTTCTATTCTGTGAGATCTGGGACTCTTTTTAGAGTCTTAAAGCAAAGACAGCATGGGGTAGTAGACAGAGAGCTAGCCTCCAAGTCAGGAATATCTGGGTTCAAATCTGGTCTCTGACACATACTGACTGTTGACCTCGCCATACTCTGCAACAACTAAGTTGCAGAAAAGGTGACAAGCTACACTGGTTGATGGAGTTTCCTTACCCAAGAGCTACATATTCCAATGAAATCACAGGTCTGATCCCTATCCTTATCTCTAAAGCAAAGGCATCCTGATAGTGTTAGGAGTTGCTGCCCTTTATTTCCGTAAGGCAATACCCAATGTGAATATGGAGAGGAAAACCCAGGGCCAGTCCTAAGTGCTTTGATCTGCTCTTTGTCTTGGGAGTCTGGAGATAGTCAGCATCTGATCTGGGTCCCAGTGAATCCTGGTGAAAAGAAACATCTCGAATTCCTTGAGAAATTTTTGATTCTTGGATATTTATTAATCATGTGACCTTGGGAAAATCACTTCTTTATACCTCAGTTTCCTCATCTATAAAGTGAGGGAGGTGGACTCTCTTGCCTCTATGGTCCCTTTCAGCTCTATGGTCCAGTGACTACTATCGGCAGCTACTGTGTAGATAGATAGATAGATAGATAGATAGATAGATAGATAGATAGATAG